TAATGAAGTTTAACCATTCATAATAATAATGAGCAGCAAAATAAAATGCCGAGAAGAAATTGGTGAAAATTGCAGCGTTAATTTATTATTTGTGGAAAAAGTACACACGCACACATAAACACACATATACATACATGTACATGTGTGTGTGTGTGTGTGTGTGTGTGTGTGTGTGTATGTACAGCTGCGAAAAAGGTTCAACGAATACATTGCATGTATTGTGAAATTCGCAACAAAAAAAAAAAAAACAAGTGAAAAAAAAATTGTGGTAAATGCCAAACTGCGAAAATAGTTTTTGTTTTTTCGTTTTTCACTTATTTTTGGTTTTAGCCGTTTATCACAGCCAATTAAAGCAAAAAGTATTACGAGCAGGCCTTATCTGAAATCTGAAAAGAAATAAAAATGTAAAATATTTGTTGCCAAAAAAAAAAACCGTGTCAAAAGTTAAAAAATAAAAAATGATCAGAAATGTGCATTTGCATAAAATGTGTGCTAGAAATGTAATTTTAAAGCGTGACAAAAACTGACAAAAATTTGTGTTAATTGTGTTAATTTAATTAAAAAAAAAAAAAAAAATTATTATACATTCATTTGTTTAAGCGGAGAAAGTAAAAAGCCAATTTACACACTTTTATTGCCAATTGGCAAATTAAATCCATGACAAGAAGTTACGAAAGAAACTAACTGCACTTGATAAAAGCCATAAATTAACGTGCACACACACACACACACACACAAAAAAGTGTAAAGAGTTAGAAAATTTGTGCTGTTGCCTCATGAAAATGCAATAACAATTACAAGTTACAATTAAATATGTATAATAAATGCCAGGCCAGACAGCGCGGCAATTAATAAATAAATAATTGCCCGAACAATATTTATATAAATTTATTTATATATATATATATATATATATGTGTGTGTGTGTGTGTGTGTGCAATTGCAAAAGCACACCCAGACGCAGCTCAAAAATGTTATTATTAACAATGCGCCTCCAGCTGGCTTCTAGGCTCATAAAACTAGCCCACGCATCAATTCTCAAGATGAGCATAGAAAAGGCTTTCGAATTCCGCTCAGAATTGGCGCAGAAATCTTTGGCAAATGCGTTTATACGTGGCGAAGTATCACGAAAACTCTAAAACAGCAAGAACTTGATTAAGAAGTTATCATGAAAACTCTAAAGGAGCAAGAACTTGATTACGAAATCTCTAAAGAAGCAAGAACTTGATTAAGAAGTTATCATGAAAACTCTAAAGGAGTAGGAACTAAGTTTGGAGTTTAACTGCCCATTTATACGTTGGAAAGTTATCACGAAAACTCCAAAGAGTGCAACTGCAAAGTTTTTATGAAATCTCTAAAGAAACAAGAACTTAGTCAGGAATTGCATCGCGAGTTCACACGTTGCATAGTTATCACGAAATCTCTAAAGAAGCAAAAAGTTAATTAAGAAGTTATCATGAAAACTCTAAAGAAACAAAAACTTGATTACGAAATCTCTAAAGAAGCAAGAACTTGATTAAGAAGTTATCATGAAAACTCTAAAGGAGCAAGAACTTGATTACGAAATCTCTAAAGAAGCAAGAACTTGATTAAGAAGTTATCATGAAAACTCTAAAGGAGTAGGAACTAAGTTTGGAGTTTAACTGCCCGTTTATACGTTGGAAAGTTATCACGAAAACTCCAAAGAGTGCAACTGCAAAGTTTTTATGAAATCTCTAAAGAAACAAGAACTTAGTCAGGAATTGCATCGCGAGTTCACACGTTGCATAGTTATCACGAAATCTCTAAAGAAGCAAAAACTTAATTAAGAAGTTATCGCGACATCTCCAAAGAAACAAGAACTTGGTTAAGAATTTAATTGGTGTGTGAGAACTGCCTGAATTCGCATAAATTTGCATTAACAACAAAACCTTAAATACTTGAAAAGTTTAGATAATAGCGTTATTTGTATTATACAGTCATAAAGCCAAGCCAAGTGAACAAAGTGCATTTACGCTAATTGATGGATTTGTTGAATTACAATTTATGCGTCATCTGATTTGAATTGTTCTCTATTTGCGCTTCAATTTGCCCTTTCGCTTTTAGCTGCATTTCCATGTTTATCATTCATTAGCATAAAGTATATCACGATAAAGACCACAGACTTTTCCGACGTATAACGAATTCTGGATTGAATGAGAAATAGAAAAAGTGCGCGGAACTGAGCTGCAGAAGAATGTCGGAGATAAAACTCAGTTAAGCAAGGAAGTTGGCACAATAAAAACTGCAAATCATGATAAATATTTGAATAAAAAATAAAGCGCAAGAAAATCTTTAACGAAATCAAAACAAATATTTACAAAAACAAACTCGAGCAACTTTGTATGATAAGAAAAACAGATAGAAAAGTGGAAACAGCTATTTATTTACACTTAAGACAATAAATAAATATATATAGTTAATTATAATTAAAACAAGACTAGTCGAGAGTGCCCGAACCCCCCCCAGAACCTTCTGGGATAGAAGAGGACTCGAACTGTATACACTATTCTAGAAGCTAAATTTCAACTTTATTGACTGTAGCTCTTAGAATCCAAGAGATTTTTGCTAAAAATAAAAACAGAAAAATCAATATCGATTATTATCGATTGCTTGGAAACAAGGCAAGCTATCGATTATCGGAAAAAAAACTCGTATTGGCACTTGAAGCGAAATTTCATCTTTGGTAACTTGAGAAATCGATTCGTCGATTGATGCTGATCATGTGTCTATATACAATATGGAATTGGAGATGCTTCCTTCGGCCTGTTACATGCATGTGCACAAAACCAATATACCCACTTTAATCATTATCAATGGGCAATATAAATTACCAAATGCCATTTTGATCAAGAAAGAAATAGAAGCACACAAAATAATGTTTAATTTTGTGACAAAGTTTGAATCAAGGTTATTGCGATATGCACACGTGTAAGCGCAGACCTTAGGTGGCTTGTAAGTGTGTGTGTGTGTGTGTGTGTGTGTTGGTGTGTGTGTGTCTCGCAAGCGCGTGAATCATACGCATCAGTAGGGGCACGCAAATATCCATTTGAATTGTTTTATGGCAGTCCGAATATTTGCACGCACAGCACACACAGATACACACACACACACACAGACACTTGCACACTTTCATATGCTCGACCAGCAGCTAGTTATGCTAGAAAATAAAATTGTTGTTTTTGAAAAAAAAAAAAGAGATAAAATAAAAGCGACACAAACAAAAACGCACAACCTAGTAACAGGCGCACGCAAATGCAAATGGAAAAGAAAAAAGGCGAAAAAATAAAGAAAGAAAAAATTCGAAATAAGTTAAAGATAGAGCTAAGCGATAGATACAAAATAGGCATAGCCCAGACCCAGACCCAGACCCAGACCCAGACCCAGACCCAGAGCGAGACCGAGACCCATATGCCGATAGCACAGATGATAGCCAGAGCCAAACAGCCGAAAAGCCGAAAGGAAAAGACAAGAGAACAAAAAAAAAAAGGTGGGGTGAAAGAAAACCGAGAAGAGCCGGGAGGGGAGTGGGCGGGTAGCTGGTCGATAACAGAACGCGGAAATTTTGAACGCCAGTTGAAAAAATATTTAGTTCTTTGTCAAATTGAAAGAGGCAAACCGACAATTTTTAGCCCAGTGCAGAGGGAAACGTTGAGCGGTGAGAGACGACGTTTCTGGCAATAATAAACAATAAACAAATAAATTAACCAAAAAAACAGCAATAAATGTGTGGGAAAATGCGAGCAGCGCAAAAATTTAGTGAACGCGTGTGGGCGAGGGAGGATCTACCCGCCCTACCCCCCTCCCTCCCCGCCTCCGCTCACACATCAAGCGAAAATTGAGCAAATTTAAAGCAAATTAATTAATTAAAAGAAGCCCCTGTTGGGGAGCTTTCAACAATTTGGTGGCATTGGCGCAATAAAATGTCAAAAACAAGCTAAATAAATAATTGTACAAATAACAACAAAATGTGTTTTTAACTAGAATTTACGAATAACAGCGAAATAGATGTAAAGATAAGCGCAAAAAGTGATTTAAAGCTTGGTTAAGCACCTATTTTACTTATTAAGAAAAGCAACTAAACTGTGACTAATGCGAGTAGAATAAAAATGAACTCAAGACTTAAGCAGAAATGATATATTAGGATAAGACTTAAAAATGATTTATAGCTTGGCGAAATCTTAGGACATTAAATTAAGATATGCGAAAGCAGATCTGTATAGCTTTCAGCGATTCTGAACACAAATTCTGAAAGCTTTAAGCATGTTTTTTTTTGCATTTATAATGTGCACAAAGAGCTGCTTAAGAAAGCACCTGAAAGCTGTAGGCGAGTTTAATAAAAGCTTAAAGCTTGGCGAAGCTTTAAGACATTTAGGTAAGCATCTTAAATGAGTTATTTAGTGCATCCTTAAAAGCTATAAAAAATGTATCACCAAGTGCATAAACTTTGAATTCCATGCTCTAACTTTAGCTCTGGCTTCAGTTCTCTTACTTCAACTGAGCTTTCAAAGCGAGAGCTTCATGTGGTACTATATAGAGCAGATATATAAAAATATATACAAATTTGGGCAGGTCTAGACACATTCCGAAAGGTTTAATCAATCTTTATGCATTTATAAAGCACCCAAACAGCTTTTGAAAGCACCTGAAAGCTTTAGGTGAGTTATATAAAGGATGTTAAATTAAGCAACTTGTTAGCTAGAAAATGAAGTATGAGACGTTAACTTCTAGCATAGCACCCCGAAAGTTCTTAAACAGGAGCTTTCAAAGCGCCTACACCTGATTTTAAACAAGCTTTAATAAAGCTTTACTGTGTTTTAAAGTGCCCGAACAGCTTTTAAAGAAGCTTTGAAAGCTTTGAGAAATCTGCTCGCTTAAAGCTCAACATCTCTTATTGCCTCTTATCCCTCTCAGTCAAACCTTATTGTTTTTTTAATTGTCAATTTACTAAAAAGCTTTCATTTTTCTATCCTTTTCTTTACGCAGTGCGGGACACTAGACGGAGCCGCCGAACCGTTATTTCATCAGCAGCGCAACAACAGAATGGACGTCTATCAGATCGATGATGGTTTCCACTCGGATGGCGGTACCGAGACACCGCCGCCGTCTCCCAGTTCGGGCTCCTCGATAGCCTCGACCTCGGACCACGGCTCGCTGGAGAGCGTTGATACAGGGGGAACACAACGGCTGGCGGTGCTATCGTTCGAGCAGGTGCGCAAGCTGCACAGCGTCATGGACGAGAAGGTGGCCATACATGGACGCGGCAATTTTCCAACACTGGAGGTAACGCTCAAGGATCTGGTGAATCTGGTGCGTCGCAAGTTGGAGGCAGACGTGAACACCGGCGGTGCCGGTGTCCTAGTTAAGGATATACGACTAAATGGCGGCGCAGCTAGTCATGTGCTGGCCAGCGAGGATCAGCCGTACAATGATCTGGACCTGATCTTTGCCATCGAGCTGAGCTCACCGCGCGTCTTCGATCGGGTCAAGACCGCCGTGCTGAACACGCTGCTCGACCTGATGCCCGAGGGCGTCTGCAAGCGCCGCATCTACACGGGCAGCCTCAAGGAGGCCTATGTCGGCAAAATGGTCAAGGTTAACAATAACAACGATGGCGATCGCTGGTCCCTCATCTCGCTGGGCAATTCGCCCGGCCACAAGAATGTCGAGCTCAAATTTGTGGACACAATGCGGCGTCAATTCGAATTCTCCGTCGATTCATTCCAAATTGTGTTGGACTCGTTGCTGTTGTTTTACGATTGCGCCGCCTTGCCCATATCGGAGAATTTCTATCCGACCGTCGTTGGCGAATCGGTCTACGGCGATTTCCAGGAGGCATTGTATCATTTGCAAAAGAAACTGATCTCAACGCGCCAGCCGGAGGAGATACGCGGCGGTGGTCTATTAAAATATTGTAATCTATTGGTGCGCAACTATACGGCCGTCGATTCACAATTGATCAAGACTCTGGAGCGTTACATGTGCTCACGTTTCTTCATAGACTTTCCCGACATAAGCACACAGACAACCAAGCTGGAGGCCTATTTGCGCAATCATTTCTGGGGCATTGAGGAGGAGCCGCTGCAATATGAGTATCTCATGTATTTATATAACGTTGTCGAAATGTCCACAGTCTGTCTGATGGGACACGAGCGCCGCCAGACGCTGCTGCTCATTCACACGCTGGCCCAGCAGGTCAAGCAGGCACAGGAGCAACAGTATCATCATCAGCAGCAACAGCAGCAGCAGCAGCAGCAGCAACAGCAACATCATCACCAGCAGCAGCAACATCATCATCACCAGCAGCAGCAGCAACAACATCACCATCACCATCATCAACAGCAACAACATGCCGCATACCTGCAGCAGCAGCAGCAGCAGCAACAGCAGCAACAGCAGCAGCAGCAGATGGAGCCGCAGCCGGCGCAATCGCCGCCCGTCTTGGCGCTGGTCTCGACAACGCCGTCGCAGCAGACACCGCAAACGCAAACGATCTATGTGCAACAGGCAGCGCCGGCCAGTGCCACAATTTGCTGCAGCAACACAACAGCAGCAGCAGCAGCAGCAGCGGCGGCAGCAGCAGCAGCGGCAGCATCGCCAGCGGCAACGGCAGCGAACACAACAGCAACTGTTGCTGTTGATGCACAGGTGGCCCAGCCGCAGACCATACAGATACAGGCGGGTCCGCCGGGCTTGATCTATGCCAATGGCGTTTACTATGCACCTGTGATACCCAGCACCATTTGCACCTGCAATTCCACCTGGCTGAGCACGTGATTGGAGCAGCAACAGCAACAGCCACAGCCAACGCAGCAGCAGCAACAACAACATCAACAACAACAACAGCAACAGCAGCAGCAGCAACAACTACAACAACAACCACAACAGCAACACTTTAACAATATAAACAGCAAGAAGAAGATTAGCAGAGCGCAGGATGAGAATGTGGCAGCCACGGGCAGCTTGGTGGTGCTGCAGCAGCAGATCAACAATTTGCCAGTCTACAAACTGAACCAGCAGCAGCAGCAGCAAGAACAGTCACGGGCGAAGCAACAGCAGCAGCAGCAACAACAGCAGCAGCATCAGCAACAACAGCAACAGCAGCAACAGTTGCTGTTGGGCACCTACAGCGGGCAATTTGCATATTTCTATCCGCACGATGGTTCGGCGCCCAGTTTGCTGCTGCTCGGCGAGGATTCATACTTAAATGTGACATTGGCGCAACAACAACAACTACAACAAATACAACAACAACAATATATCTAAAAGAAAAACTTACAGAAAGAAAAACAAAAAAAAAAGCCCGGGCTAACTGCAAGACACGAGCCTTTAGTTGTACAAACCTGTCATTTATATATATATCTATATATATATATATATATATACACACACATATATACATATATATATATATATATCCTGTTGTTCCTTTTTCTATACATTTTTGTACGCACGCTAAAGACTCGACAGAACAGAACTCACCGTCTCTCTCTCTCTCTCTCTCTCCCCCTCTCTCACCTGAAAAACAAAACCACAATTGTTGCTGCAAAATGTTGAGCATGATGTTAATGATGTAGCTAAACACACACACACACACACACACACACTAACACACAACATACACACAACACACACAATACACTACGCCAAGTTTCAACTAATTTGACTGAAGAGCCGCTGTTTGGGGCGGGCGCCGGGAGCAAGGAGCAAGGAGCAAGGAGCAAGTCGCGATGGCCAAAAAATAATAAAACAAAATAATGAGAATGGGGGCCAACAAGAAAAGAAAGTGAATACGGAAGAGAAAGATGTCGCAGCCAATTCACTTTTGCCTATAAACCAGGACAAATCAACACCAACACCAACACACGCACACACATCAACACACACACACACACACACACAACGATATGACAAACAAAAAATAATAGCCAGATAATATTTTTTTTTTAAAATTTTTTTTCTTTATGCGTCGCTTCAAAAAAATTTTCTTGTATCGCAAAAAACCAACCTCAAAAGAACTCTACTTGTATACGAAAACACACACACACTCCCACACACACACTCCCGCACACACACTCCCACACGCCCACATGTAATTCTTATCAATTTTGCTCTTAACTTCAATTTTTTGATAGCCCCCCCCTTTTGCACGAAAAAAACAAAAAAAAAATCTGAAAAAAAAGAAAATATAAAGAAATTTAAGAACCCTTCAAACACATACCTAGCCCACCCCCCTTTCAACCCCCACCCACCCTACACTTCCTGCTCGCACACGTTTAAGATTTGATTTTGTAATAAAAAAGAAAAAATAGTTTAAATTGCGGCGCAACACACTAAAAAAAAAAAAAAAAAAAAAAAAACTCATTTTGTTCTTATTAAACACATTTATTTCTTTTACAGCTCACTTGTAAGTTTGCCTTGCAGTTAACAACGAACCATCCCCCACCCCTAACCCCTCCACACTACATAATTATCATGCTATTTTATAATATATTTTTGAATTTGTTCGTTTATGCAATAAGCGCAGCCGCCTTCGTGCCGCCGCATAGAAATTCCAAGCAAAATATCTACGTATATATATATATATATAAAACTATATACATATAATAAATACAATATAACTACATAAATATATTTAAAAAAAAAAAACAAAAAATACTTATCATGAAAAAAAACTACAAACAAAAAAAATCAAATTACAAGGCAGATACGATGACATGTAAATAAACAAAAAAAAATTATATCTATATACTAAATATTAGTCAAATTTTAGCTGTCCAAGTTGACATAATATGCAAAGTAAAACATTGTATTTATATATTGTATATGATTTAACATTAATGGTAACTCTTAGCTGTAACTCTTAAACTCTTAACTGTAACTGTAACTGTAACTGTTCGACTCTTTAGTACTGTACAATCATGAAACATTTTCTTGGTAATAGCAGTGCAGTTATTGACCGAAACTAAATGTATCTCAGCGTAAGACGTTGCTCAATGGGGGGAAAACAGAAATACTGAAAACACAATAGATTATAGACATTTACAAGCAGCTTGCAAAAGTTAACATGAAGCATGTCAAACGGAAAAAAACGCAAATCAAAATCTCTAAAAAACAAAAAAAAAACAAACAATTTTTTTACTTAAAAATTTTATAAATGCAACAGAAGAGTGGAAAAAGAAACGAATGGGAGAGTGCATGAAAGAAGGCAACTTTGCTAAAATATTTGCAGTGTTTTTTTTTATACAATAAATATACACACATATATATATATATATACATAAAATTATGCGTGTAAAACCGTAAAACTGTAAAATCGTGTAGAACTATAGTTTATATAAAAAATAATAATATAACTTAATGTAAAACTAATGGTATCTAGTGAAGTTTAACAGCAGCAACATGATTGATTGATTGATTGATTGATTGATGTCAAGCATTGTGATTGAGTGACTGTTTTGGCTTGTTCGTTCGTTTGTTTGATTGTTTGTTTGTTTGTTTGTGTAACAAAACTGCTGGGTGATAATTTATGAATGATTCAACTGATATACATACATATATATATAAACATATATGTGCATCTAATATATAACATATTCAATTTATAAATAATACTTTTAATAATTAAACTACAGCGCATGCAATGTAAGCATATATATATATATATGTATATGTAAACATTGAATATTGTTTTAAAGCAATATTCCGTAAAAGACAACAAAAAAAAGATGTTAAGTCCAACATAAAATTGCATATGCTATGCTATGTTTCCTCTGTAAATGTGTTAACTGTTAACTGTAAATGGTTAACAGTGTTGCTGTTAAATCTCACACTGTTAACTTTACATAATTTGCGTTCATATTCATTTTCAATTTGTTTTATTTTGTCTAACTCTTTTTTTTTTGTTTTGCATAGCGTTGAGTGAATTTTGTTTTTGAATTTGTACTGTATTAATTTTAGTTTAAAATATTATGTAAAACTGATTGATGTTTGTATATAATGTGTGTGTGTGTATATATATATACATATATAGAACATGTATTCCAAACCAAAAAAAGAAATTATAATTTAGGGAAAAATAAAACTTGTACACTTGACAAGTTTTTGGTTAACATTGGAAATTGTAACTTTGCTCACAAACTGGCTGCATGACTTTTTATATATATATAAACATTTATTATATATACACACACACACACACATATATATACATATAATAGTAGCTATAAGAAAGCGAAGGAGGAGCGCGAATGCTTGTTGATCTTTCATGTTTGATGATGATAAATAGAGCGAATAGTCTGTAAGTGTGTGGAGAAAAATTACAAAAAGAAATCAAACAAAACAAAAAAAAAACTAAATAAAATCAAAAAACGGACATTTTTGAGAAATTAGCGCGTAAATTTAAATTTATACAAAAATCCAACTTAAAAAAAACTGAAAAAATCAAATCAATCAACAATCTATTGAGATTTGTATATAATATTATAATTATGCCTAATTATATTATGCTATACTCTACTATATATGTATATCTAATTAAAACACACACACACACACACAAACATACTAGACACACACACACACAGGCACACCCAACCAATATATACTATATATAAATATTACTTACATATTACCATATATATATATATATATGTATATGTATGTATACACACGTTTGTATATATACATATATATATATATATGTATGTAAACATATATATATATTATATGAATAATCTTAATTATTATGTATGTATCTACAACAACAACAACAATTTACCATATACATATTACATCTGTGCGCTTCTTGCGATCTAAGGAATTTCAATAAAAACAAACAAAAAAATACCTAAAAAGTATAAAACCAACGAAAAATAAAAAAAAATAAACAAAATATAATTTACAAATTGCATTTATTTATTATTAATTTGCACCTGCGACAAATTTTGCGCTGGCCATTGGCCATTTACCGTTTACCGTTTGGTTACGCTGTTTGCGATGTGCTTCCTCCTTTCCAATTGGAGTTTTTAAGTTTTTTTTTTCTCTATTTTAGTCCAAACATCTGCTGATTATGACAGAGACACAAGAAACGGCATCGGCCTGTGATCCAACTGCAGCAGCTGCATCTTCATCTCCAGCTGGGACGGTTCACTTTCGCCTGTTTCTACCAAGTCGGGTTTCACTCTCCGCTCGAACATTTCATTTACTTGTTTATTGTATAATGTTCCGTATCATACGAGGCGGTCTTTGCACTAAGTGGCTCGAACCCGGCTGTGTTGATAAGTGTCCGTAAATATAAAATATGACAAATCTTCGGTTGCCGCCGGTAAGATTTATGCATTTTGATTAAATTGTTGCTAAAATCATATGGCCAGTTGTATTCCAAGTGTCATACCGTGTTGCTTTTAGTATACAACTTATATAACGCTGCTCGAATAGTTATTTTAGCATAAATATTGTTAACAATTTCCAAGCAAATTCAAATTTGCGCGCCACACAGCCAGAGCCTGGCCAGCTGCAGCCAGACGAAGGCAAGCAGCTTGTGTCATGCAGCACTTGCGTTTTGGTATTTATTTTAGGCATGATTTTAAGCAGCGCAACGGTCACCCTGTTTGTTCAATTTTTAGCGCTAAATGCCTCTAGCTCCAAGAAGTCTAAGCCCGAGCTTTTAGTGTCGAACGTGAATTCGTGACGAGCGTTGGGCAGAGATAACGAGTTTACGCCAGTTAATTTGCAACACACACACACACACAAAACACTAAAAGACACACACATAAACACCAACAATAAAAAAAAAGAGTGCACAGAGTGAAGTTAAGGCAATAAAGCAACAAAAAGTGCGAAACAAACAATAGAAAAAAAAACCAAAGGAAATAAGCATCGAGTGCTGGGAAGTGCGTAAATTGTGAAACGAGTTGTATCCATTGAGAAAAGTGCGTAAAAATTAAGCTAAAGCATTCAAGTTTTCATTTGAACACACACATGCATACATATACACACTCGTAGAGTTACCTGACACACATACACACACACACACACACACACACACACACACACCGCGCCTAACACTGACTGCCGCATTTTCATTTTACTCATACCACCCCGCCCCAGCCCACACCCCTCGCACACTACCACCCGCACACAAGCGTACGTGTGTCTGTGCCTGTGTGTAAATTTTTGATGGAGCTGGCTTTTCTTTTCGGTGTTTTCATTTTTGTAAAAGTCACCAAAGCCGTTTATGTGCGTGCAGTTTTGAAGGCAATTCTTTTCAAGTTCCGTTTTCTATAGATCTTAACCAATATAACAGTTGCCTGCGCCTGCATTTTAGTTATACAATAGAAGTTTTGTTGGGCTCGATAGGCACAGAGCCAGAGCCAAAGCCGAAGCCACAGTAACGCACACACATACATAGACAAGAATTACTGCAAAACACACGTACACACACACACACCCACGCGCACACACATGCATCTGTGTCGGTAACGTATCAAAACGTAACCTTCAAGGCTTGTGCAACGGTTTTGCTGTCCAATTCTGCTGCAGCAGCCGCCGCCGCCGCCGCTGCCGCCGTCGCCGACGCAGCTGAAGCAGCATTGGAAAGAGAGAGCAAAACAACAAACTAACTGTAAGTGAACGCGGCTTAAGAATGGGATGGGAGAAATGTGCAGTTATTTTATGCTTAGCAATCAAAACTTTTTCGGTTTTACGTGCAGCGCAATGCAATAAAACGATATAATTCTCTTAATATAGACAGGTGTGTGTACATACATGTATGTATGTGTGTGTGTGTGGGTGTGCAGAATTCGAAGCCAAGGCCTAGCTTCATATCGTAGTAGCCCAGTTGGTGTTTGACAGCCGCAAACATGCCACACACACTCCAAATATACCCCGCACGACCCACATATACCACCATAACTGATTAATTGTCAGCGTTGGAGAAGCCCCTGTCCTTAGCTGCCCCTCGCCATACCCTGTTATTTACCATTTGCTCAATGCCATAAACGAACACTAGACTCTGTGTGCACATGTACTTTGCACTTTGTTTATTCAATAACATATGCACCCTGTGCAGCCCTGTGCACCCTGTTGCTATTCCCCGGTTGAATGCGCTTTTGCAGTTCAATTATCAAATGCTTTTAAGGTGTACACATGCCAGTGCCAGACCTGAGGGGGGCATATTGATTTCTATGTTCAGAGTTCTATAATATCATTTTCATTTGACTTGACTAACATTTCTTCTCAGTAAAAACTTGCGACTTCTCTTTGGAGTACACTTTAAACAGTTGGTATACCCATTAGCTTTGTTTACAGGATATGCGAATAGTCCAATAAGTGCTCGGATATCAAAAAGCTGTTGATAACTCTATTACATTTATTATTTGTTAACATTAGGCATTGGCACAGTGGGCCAATTCGCGAAATTTCATAACAAACAAATATTACTTTGTTCAGGTAAAATGCTCAGTTCGTCTTCAAATACAGCTTGGATTATTAATTGAATTATTTTTTTTGCTGTGCATTTGTCAAGTATGGCCCACTGTGCGTGTTCAATACAAACGATTGTCATAACGATTATAATAATTATTAATAAGCAGCTTAGCTAGGAAATACGAGGAATTGACGAGAAATATACAAAACCAACTCATTTTGATATCAATTATCGGATATGGCAAATGGGGCCAGTTCGAGCCACACACGAATGCGTTTATAGCTTGGTCAAAATGTGAATATATTATTTAATAAATGCAGTCGTAAGTGCAGCAAATTGAGGCAATTTAAAAGTGACATCATGATGATGATGGCAATCGATCTATTCTTTCAAAGAGAACTATACTTAACTCTCAGATTGGTTTTCGACCCGACTGTGATGATTGTGAAGAGTCGAAAACAGATACTGAAACGGAGACCAAGACCGAGCCCACAAAGCGCGACGAATGACGCATTCAAAATAAATATAAACAACGAAACAACAAATGACACAAAACAACAACAACAACAATAGTAGTAATAAGAGTGGCAAAAACAATAACAACCACGTTTGCCGTTCACGTTAAGCGTCGAAATTCGAAGATAAACAAATCGAACGCTCGCTGACTGGTACAAAAAGTTGGCATTGTCATTTGGTATGCCCATTCCCAAGCCCAATCCCTGCCCATTTCCATTTCCATTCTCTCCCACTCGTAATATGTCGTTGCTTACGTTTTCTTTTGGTCTCTCTTTATGGACTTATTTTCGGCCAGAGATCAAAAAAGGCAGCAAAGGACACTGCCAACAGGCCGTATACGTAATATTTTGTTTCGTGCCAAGCGCAGTTACCGCATGCACACACAACACACATATATACCATATATATACAATATTTATATATATATATGGGCCTCGGGGAACCGGGCCAAGACCTGTTAGTAGAAGTCCTTGGCAGTCCTTGAGCATGTGGGCGACAAATTTCGCATTGATTATGCAACAGTTTGGCGGATTGAGCGTGTAGCGTAAACAAACTGCTGCAACGCGACCAAAATACAGCACAAAATGCGACAAAAATAATACAAATAACAACTGGGGAACAGCTGCAACGAGCTGGAAGTATCTTGGGAGTCAACGGCACACTTAAGATTTGGCTGAACTTGTAGAAAAAGCAGACTGTGATCGACAGAACAGATGTTCCGCATGTGCTCGATTCTAAGCTAAAAAATAGTTAACATGCATGTTAATGTACTTTAAAGATAAAGTAAATTTTTAGCATTTTTTCACATTTACTTGTAGAAATGGAAGACTGTCATCGAGAGAGCAGATGCTCTGCCTCCAGCTAATCAATGAATACTCAAGCGCTCTATTCTAAGCTTAAAAAGTTAACATGCATGTTAATGCATTGCAATGCAAAAAATTTCATTTTAGCATTATTTCATATTTACCTTAACTCAAGAACACTCTGGTCAACCTGTGCCCTATTCAGTCCAAGAATAGTTCGCTTAATTTAAGCAAAAAAGGTCTGTATCCAGCAGAAGGTTAACATTCATGTTAAATAATTTAACAGCGAAGCGCAAGTTCTACACGGGCTCGTATTTACTTCTATAATGCAACCACTTATACAACAATTACCAATTACTGTCTGTTATTTATTAGATATACTGCGCCGCGTCATGTGCATTTTCCAGTTTGTTTCCCGTTTCCCCCGTTTCCACTCGTAATTGCAGTGGAGCAAATACAATTCAAGTTGGGAACAGTTTGACATATAACCGACAAGTACAAGAAACGAAGTGAAAAACATGGTACTGCGTTTCAGAATAATATAATTGACTGTAGCACGTCAACGTCAACAAGCCAAGGAGTAGACGCAACAACTTCCCATTAATTTTCGTCAACAAGCAGTCGCTGGCTTATTGCTCGACTGAAACTGAGCCCAAAAGTGGGCTGTCCAAATGGTGGGCGTGCCATTCGGTTCATATTTAATGCCTTTTGCATTTTGACATTTGACTGCGGTGCACGCGGCGTATACGTAATGTGCCTTAACTGGCCATTGGCTGCAGTTGGGCTTGCGTCTGTCCAACTAAATCTCTGCAAACCCAGCAAAAAAATTTAAAATATAAACTATTTGACGATGATGTGATCGTCTGACGTACACACACACACACACCTACACACACACACCTGCACACACACACAGAGGCAGGCACCAAGTTTTTTGTTGACGGCATTTATTTGCCTTACGTTTTAGACAGTCGAGCGCGGCGCTTATCAAGCACAGCCAAGCTGAGACGTAATTCATTCAAAAGTCAACACCCACACACACACACACACACACAAACACACCTGTGGGGGGGGGGGGGGGGGGAGGGGTTGGAGTGTTGCAGGCCTGTTTGGTTCAGATATCTGGCAACTACTCGGCTATGGCTACAAAATTAGCAATTAGAATGGATAAGAACAAAAGCTAAAACTAAAAGCGACAACACCTGCACATACAGCTGCCGCTCTCCCTGTCTCCCTCTCTCTAGCATGTAAATATTTGTCAATTTTGATTTACCGCCGAGACCCGCTTGACTTGTATACAGGGTGTGTGCCTTGGCATAGCTGAAATGTAAACTGTAAACAAATAAATCACATCATCAGCACAAATTAAGTCTTAAAATAGCCCGTTAAGTGGTCATAATATATGTCTATATATAGTATAGGGTATTATGTGACTAGGAGCTGCATATATATAGTAGATTTAACAAATGGGCATACTATATGTGCATATAGTATAGGGTATTATGTGACTAGTGCCTGCATATATACATATATAGTATATTTAGCAAATGCATTGCTTTGCATTCCTCTCGTCCAGTTGATTTAGTTGTTTTATTAGCTTTTAGTCAGCTTTTTCAAGAGCTGACTGTTAAGTTATCTTTCAGTTAACAAACACACATACATAATCTATATATATATGTATATAATCTCTTGGTTCGCTTGATTTTAGTCTGTTTTACAACCTTGCGCTTTAACTAGTTGCGAATTGTAAGCGAACTTTTGTTTATTAGCTGCCTCTGTGCCCTGCACAAGGCACACAAATACCTTCTTGATGAGCCAACTGTGTGGCTATTATCAAAAAAAGGTGACATTTGTATATTCACGTCCGAGTCTGACGCAAATCTCCGGCTTCCGCGACTGTCAGCCAAGTTTGCAAGTGCAAATATTCTGGAACTCCGAAATGTGTTTGCCAAGTCATCAGAATTAATAGTTCAGGCTAGACAAGCAAATCCGCTCAGCCCTGGGAAAGAAGTTACTTTTAAATTTATAATATTAACAAATCTCCAATTCACAATTAAACTTCAGCAAAAAATAAAACAAAAAAAACCCCCCGCTATATTTAAATACAAAGCAATCTTGGGTAATTCACAATGAATTACATAAAAGCTTAAATTTATAATTTGTATGCAACAGCCCTCAAAGCATTTTGGTCATAATTGGTTTATAACTTGAAACAACAGAAATTAATTAATTGCAGACGCATTTGGACGTATGCTAATGTTAGTTCAGTATAAACAATAGAGGCACACATATACTCTCTTTGCACAAGCTCTTCAAAAGGGGGTATTATAGGGTATTACTTTGAAAGAATCATGTGTAAGGCCAACTATATAAAGTATTACTTTATTATTAAAGTTATTAAGAACCAAGGCAAACAGATTCGTTTTTCATGTAAAATCCACCCTATCATTATATCTAGTTCTCCAACTGCCTATGCGATCTCAGGAGTTGTTAGAGCTAGTTTGATGAAGCTTGGCATGTAAATTCTTCGATTTTAGCTACAGTTATGTATAATATGGCATATTGTGATATTTCGATGTACAAAATATTCACATTCCACATCAACTCAAAGCTTTATATTTAAAAGCCAATCTTTGGATGCATTTTGCTTGGTATTCCCCCGAAATGAGAATGCGATCGCATCAGTTTGTTATTGCATATTCATTTGTTGTTGGTACAGTGATGACTCGCAAAAGGGAATACTTTTCGAGTGAAAGCGTTTATTATTTTTATGGTGAAATTTGCGGGGTATTCACCAAGTTGTGCAGTCTCCCTTTCCCTCTTCATTGTGAATTGGAATGCAAACATTTGCAGATGAATTTATCAATGTGCATATATAAAATAAAGCTATATAGTATAGCTCTTATATAATGAAGGGGGTTTGGGCGGAGGCAAGGGGGAAGGGCCTTGGCTGTGCTTTTGTTATCGGCCGCACTCGAAAATAGCACCTTGAGCCAGATTACCAAAACCAATTTAGGCCAGACTGCCAGAGCTATATAAATATATATAAGTATACACCAGATGCCATATACTATATACTATATATCATATATGTATATACGATATAAACGCCTGCAGCTTTGCATAGCTGCTGTGCAAAAGTGCAAAGTTCAGCCGAGCCAGAGAGACAGAGAGAGAGAGAGAGAGAGAGAGCTAGTGAGAGAGAGAGGAAGGTAGGGAGCTGTCAATGTTACCCACTGTGGCTGTGGCAATTAGAAAAGCCAGCGCGTTGCAGGCGCAGTTGTTGCACGTTGCAAGTGGCAGGTGGCAGATAGCAGGTGGCAGGTGGCAGGTGGCAGATGGCAGGTGGCAGGCTGCAAAAGGGCTTTGGGCGTTGCGCCTTTGTTTTAGCAAACTGCCATTCACAACGCGTCTGACGCACATGCCATAAATAGAGCTCGTTCCAGTGCGTAGGGCGAGGGGCAGGGACGTTGCCCAGATGTCAGCTGAAGCTGTTTTCCAGGCGCGAGATAGCTGAGACACTCGCTCAAAATAAAAATTCTTTGCCATTTGTTGTATTCACCAAATGAAACAATTTGATTTTTTCATTTGTTTCGCTTGTTGTTCAGCTTGTTTGTTTCTTCTACTGTTGTTTCTTTCTGTTAGTGGCAATTAGAATGTCAACTAGTTAAACATTTGGCTAGAACAACACGAGTTCGTTGACGCTCGTCGTGCTTCGATGCTGACTCACAGCGTCTGGTCTGGTTAAATTTAGATAAGCCGAGTGTATTCATAGAGTTTGAACCAGTTCGAAACGGCAACAGCTGACAGCCAACAGGCCGTTGGCTTGGCCCACAGTTTATCGAAGTCTTTGACATATTAATTGACAATTTCTGAACTTCGGTTCAGCTTCTTCAAATTTGTGCAGATTAATACAAAAGAAAGGCGGCAGCTCGCTTTGTATACCCTGTTGCCCGTTAAGCATATACGTAGAGATATTCCCCTATCAATATTCCCCCATGGATCATAGATCTTTACCCCACAGTCCTTCAAGATTTCTACAGATTTCTAATCTTTCAAAAGCCTTACTAAGATTGTCAATCTTTTTCGCTAGCTCTCTCTGTAATTCTCATTTCTCTCTTTCTCGCTCTCTAAGTCTCCTTCTATCTCCCTCTTTTTCACTTCTCTTTCCTTTTATACTCACACATTCACACACTCATTTTATACGTCTCCAATCGTTATATATACAACCTCCCTAATAATTCCCAACTCGTTATAGCGCAATGCGTCTCGACACTAACTCAAATGTGGACTTCAAAGCGTTCGACTCCAGTTCCAGTTCCAGCACCAGCCCGTGTGTAAGTCTTCAAATTAAGCTCTGTTATAGCAGAAATAATTATAAAGAAGGAACACATTCAATTCAATTAGCTCGTCAAATTGGACAACCTGGCCACCTGGGGTGGCTCACAGAAGACGGATACACGGCTGCCCCTAACGGACTATTCAACGCTCGGCGGACCGCGGCACAATTGCAGTCCCTTTCCCCTATCCAAAGATGTCAACAATCGCCTGGTGATTTGGTAAGTGCATTAGCTCTAAACTGACTCGTAAACTAATCCCCTTTGCCTTAACAGGGATGGCGACATGACCACACTGCAGGTGGATGCCATCACGAACAGCAGCGACGAAACCCTGACTGAAAGCAATAGCATATCGGAGCGCATTATCGCCGTTGCCGGCAATCAGCTCAAAGAGGAACTGAGCACAACTGTAAAGGGTAAGCCAAGGGCCTACATATACAGTCCTATACAGAACCTTTAAACTGTCTTTCTCTCTCTTCGCAGAGTGCCGCATTGGTGATGTACGCGTAACGCGTGGATACAATCTGCCAGCCAAGTATGTTCTGCACACTGTTGCACCCGCCTACAAGGAGAAGCTCAAGACGGCCGCCGAGAATGCGCTGCACTGTTGCTACAGGTGAGTCTCCCTATAGCCGACATTTCATATAAACTTTGCTAATGCATCTTTCTCTCTCTCTCTATCGTTTGATCTGCCACAGAAATGTTCTCTGCAAAGCCAAGGAGCTGAATCTGCGCACCATCGCCGTGTGCAATGTGAGTGGCAATCAGAAGACCTTTCCAGCCGATGTGGCCGCGCACATTGCCCTGCGTGAGTAATGCCAGAAATCTAGCGACTAAACTGATCTGATCTGATTTTTTTTTATGATTTCATTTGATATTTGTATTATCTTTGCCTATCTCTCGGTTAGTCATTTAGTCTTACGTTTGTCTAATCGCATGTGCTCTGTTTGTAGAATCTTCTAGGCACATGTTTTAATTTTAGAGATATTACTCAAGCATTATGAATGCCTAATTTATTTATTTTTCTCGATTTATAGGCGGCCCCTTCAGGCAGTTTAAGAAGGGTTCTTCATTCATTCAATTCATTTCTATTTTCTCAGCATATTTGAAAGAGAACTTTTTCACTGTGAAGGCATTTTACTGAAACCTTCTACTTTTGCTTACGGCAGCTTCTGTATAGCTTACTATCCTATATATACATCAGTTTTGGATTTATATATATTCAAGCTTTGTCTCAATCATTGGACTACTTGCAACTACAACTCTATTCTATAAGAAACATGCTACGCTATAATTCCCAAACAGTTTAGGCCATAAATTATGCAGCACTTGTTCTTAGTAGCCTGCCTTCTTTGTACTCTGTACCTCAATCAAATCAGTATTGTTTATGTACTCAATATCAACAGTCATTTAATCATGCCTTTCTATTCTCACAGGCACCATACGCCGCTTTCTGGACAAGTTTACACAGCAGGTTGTGATACTGTGCGTCAATAGCAGTGAGCGTGGCACCTATGAGGTGCTGGCGCCGCTCTACTTTCCACGCGATCAGCTGGAGGAGCGCAGCGCGCTCTGGCAGCTGCCCAAGGATACGGGCGGCGAGCTGGGCGAGCCACAGCATCCGGATCCGGATCGACAGATACGCATCATACGCAATCCGCAGCACAGTCACAGTGTGCACATGCGTCATCGACATGGTGAGTATTAAAACGATGACGGGCTTGTTGGTTATCAGTTATCGTTAATCAGCTATTGGTTATCAGCTGTGAAGACTGCACTGCGTGTGTGTGCGTGTGTGCGTGAGTGTGTGTGTGCGTGTGTTATCATTCGCTGTAGAGCATCAGCCTTGGGCTCTTGCCTTTGTTTAGCCCCTCGACAGCTGCCGATAATGTCGATGTCGATAAGATTAGACTACACACACTCACACACACACACACACACACACACGAACACATGATATATGCTTGTGCGTTTGCCGAGTTCCATTCCCATTCCCAATCCGAATCCGAGTTCGTTCAAATTGCCTCCACACACATTGCTAAGGCTTCAGTTACGTTCCAAAGACACCTTCGCGTGGTCAGCCAAACGGCAAACGGCATTAATTGAACGCAATTTTCCAACGGGTTTCTTACTTTATTTTTCACAATTGATTAAAAACAAGTGCGTCTCGGCTGAAACGCGCAAAACAAAACAGTTCGCATTTGTAAGTGATCTAATTGGCACGATAATTTTGAAAATTGTGACTAATACTGGATATATGTACGTGTTCTAGATCTAGATGCATAAAGTGATGTGCCAAAAGCATTTAATAGCCTTTTATAAAATGCGCTAATCTGATAAAAAAGACAATTTTGAGCAATTCAAGCGAATGACGTCAGCAGCTGCTCTGCGAGATAGAAAAAGTGTTGCATACTTTGAGGCAGCTGCAAAATGTGGGGACAAAATATTGCAAATAATTCGAATTAATTTCATTTAAATGCAGCTTTTAACGGCACGGCAATTTTTTATATTAATCGTGATGCCCATAGTTGATAAAAAAAAATATATATATGCATACATATATTTATTATTATATATTTCTAAATCAAAGCTTCCACGATGGAAGAGTTTTTGCTTTTAGTCAGGTTTGGCTCGAGGTTTGGCTTCTAAATCAATTCGGCTTCTAAATCTGGCAAGATTATTTTTGATCGAAATTTATGCATAAATTAAACCCTCAAAAATCCTATATGAACATGGGTCGAAATACCCCACCTAAAACTCGACTAAGACTCAAGAGGTTTCTATAAGGTTTGGCTTTGTGTTCATGGTCTGGCCTCTAGTTCAATTCAGCATATAAATCTAACAACATTACTTTAATAAAAAGAACATATCAATTTGCGGGATTCTAAACAAGAAGCCTTGAAGAAAAATCTTCATTTCATATCAATCGTTTGAGCTATAAGTTTAATTATTGGAAAGGAGAAGTCTTGCCAGATCAAAGTTCGCTCGCTGAACTTCTCACTGCAGATTTGCCACAATTGGCTAACTGGGCAGGCTCTACTTCGTGGCGCACGTAACACGCAAGTTTATCAAATGAATTCATAGTCAAACATTTGAATTAACTGTGTGCGGCTTATCGCGACAGTTAGTTAAGACGAGTGTCAGCCGTGTTTCTAGCAGATGCTCTTGTTGTAGTTCTGGCCAATTCTATTGTTCTTGTTGTTGTCGCTGCTGTCGTCTTGGCAAAGTTCGTTTTGGCCCAGTTAAATCATGTCAGCGTTTAAACAAAAACAACGCAACTCGCTTATCGCCAGATTTGACGCCCTCACTCTGCCAGCAGAGGGGGTGGGGGGGAGATGGTGTCTCCCTGCCTCCTTTCAACTGACTGCTCTTACGCTGCTCGCATCGCAGTCGACGTTGACGTCGACGCAGCCAACAAAAGCGGCGTCCCAAAGCTGTCGGCGCCGACGTCGCTTTCAGTTGATATCAAATTACGCAGCGCTGAAGTTGGGGCAGCACAACAAAAGCCGAACAAGGCATTGAGGCTGAGCTTTGATAACTGATAATAGATCCAGCTGATAATAGATCCAACTGATAATAGATTCAACTGATAATAGATCCAACTGATAATAGATCCAAACAATAACAAACATGATAAACAACTCATTTGAGTTCTCATGTAAATGCATTGGCATCTCATAAATATCAATGCACCTTATACTAAACGTCTCTCTGCATCTCTCTCTCTCTTTCTCTCTCGCCTTCCCGCTCCAATAGCTGACGACGATTCTGACGTTAGTCCACACGATATGGAGGGCAACAGCTCGGATCTGGAGTATGGCGCCCGGGACATGAATGGCCTCAGCCTCAATTCCTACAGCAGCGGGCTGCAGGCACAGCTACAGGTGCGTAACGATTTCTCTCTCTCTCTCTCTCTCTCTCTCTTTTACTCATATTAAACAACATTTTCTTAATCTTTCACACAAACAGCGCGATCTGGACAGGCAGCATTTGCTGAGCGATCGACCCAGAGCTGGCGTCTATGAGAGTGTCGTTGCCGAGGGCATTGAAGGCATGGAGCATCAAGAGAGGTGAGTGTTTGCCAGAGGGAGAGAGAGAGAGAGAGAGAGAGGGAGAGTGAGGAGGTAAGGAACTTAAAGAGAGTAAGATTGAGGCAGAGGAAGAAAGAGTGAAAAAGAGACTGAGAGAGTGAAAGAAAGTGGGAGAGTGAAAGAGAGAGAGAGTGAAAGAGAGAGAGATTGCTAAAGGAGACAGCTCCCAATTCAAGTAAAGTATTCTTATTAATAGGAGCAAGCTTCTAATACTATCTAATCGATTATTCCTGTTATTAAAAATACATTTTACATCTAAAATTCGTAACAAATATTACAACAAAAATATCTCCTTTTACAAAATTACATTAACTATAAAATAAGCTCAAACATTTCCCCATAAATGTTCCCTAGACGAACGAATCGAGTATCAAATCTGTATCATATGCTATTTCGAGCGAGGAGCCTCAAGAATAGATCGTAATATGAGTTTTTAGCATGTTGTTTATGTGTAAGCCCCGTGTTGTTATTATTATTGTTTCCTCTGTCCTCAATGTGTCAAAGGAATCAGGTAAACAGACGACTGGTCACATCAAGTCGACATCAGGTGTCCGCTTGCGTCATTAAATACGTTCAAATTAGGCTTTTCTTTCTAACTGGGCGCCGTCTGCAGTTCATAAAAGTGCCCTTAGTTGGCCACATAAACACATTTTTTGTTAGATCATTCGTAATGCTCTTAAATAAATAGAGAATTCGTGTATTTAGCGTGCGCGTGCCGGAAATAGCTTAAACGTCTGACAAATGACTTCTTTGACCGGGCTTTCCTTCGGACTGACTGCCTGCCTTTGGTTGAGCCCAACTCCGTTCCCCTCCCTCCCCACTCTCTCTGCACCCGGCCACTGCCTGGCATTTGTGTGCCTATGCAAATTTTACAGGACATTGGCACGCGAACGAGTATCGTGGAATTGTAGTCCATTTCACCCATTGCCCCGCCCCCCCCCCCCCCCCCAAAAACAAAATCCCTTATCGCAGCGGCACTTTCTTGGGCCTCTGCCAGGCCACGTGACGTCATTGTCCTGCGGCTGTCGACGTCATCGTTAGCATGTCCCAAGCACAAATACCAAATATCATTTATATTTTTGTTCACACTTGCTAAATATAACTGCCTAATAGTTCCGCCTAAAAATAAATGCCAATCCATCCGACTGGGTATTGAAAGCCTTTGAATTCGGCTCAATTCCCAACTCTATCGATAGCAAATCGTAATATCATAAATGGGTTTGAACTTGTCTATAAATAGCCCAAGTTTCTCTTATCAAAATATTATTAAATTTTGTTCAGCATATTCCAGTGAAAAAAACAAAAAAAAACGTCTCAAAACGCCTTCGTAAAAGTTTGCGTTGACCTTAGCCTTAATCTTTATTGCGCCGCGATTTGCATTTTGCACCACATATTCCGAGCCCAAAACGAATCCAAGACCAATCCGGAGTATGCATAGCGAATATCTACTAAGGAAAAAAAAAACAAAAACAAAAACAAAAACCAAATGATGCGCATAAAATTAAATAACTTTTGGCTTTTCAACTTGAAATTCAGCATTGCAACTTGTCAGTGTCAAAATGCGTTCACATATTTTTTTTTTGGCCCCCCGTCAATTCAATTATGGGCCACACAGTCCTCACCCCCCCCCCCCTTTCCCCTTACTGACTGTAAATGTAATTAGCACTCGAAATGTTGCAGTTCGTTGAATGCAACCGCATTCGATTTGTACAAGTCGTATCGTGTGTCATCGCATTTGTTATGCATTTAAATATTTAGATCTTAAATTAATGTTAATAAATTTATAATATATAAGTAACACGCATATACATATATTATATTCATGTAAACAGGCCAGGCAATCGGGCAGAGCCGTTCGGTTCAATGCATTCAGGCGGGTTCACAGTGGCTCCCCTGTTTATACCCTGTAAATCACAAAAATGGGCATGGGCATATTTAAGCATAAATCTGCTTAGACGCATGCTCGAATACTCGATGCATAGAGCATTCTTGAGGTAGAAAAAATATTTATTTTGAAATAAAAATATTTTATTGTCTGATTTTTGACAAACAACATTTTCTCTCAAGTAATAATAATATAAGAGAGCATTAATGCAGGGTATCTGCCAGTCGAGCATTCTCGGCCAACACATGCTCTCTACTTTATGGCTCGCCTGTTTGTTATTTGCTTTGGTTTAAATGAAAATTGCGCATACGTCACGTTGGCGCTGTCCAAAAAAAAAAAACAAAGTGCCACACATAAAGAAAAAATAGAAATTTTTACTGTTTTTCAACTGATTCAAAGCAGACACGACATTTGCATTATGCGATTGTCGGCTGTCAGGCTGGCAGGCTATCAGGCAGAGAGGCAGGCAGAGAGGCAGTCGCCCAGTCAATCAGTCAGTTAGTCCATGGCGCGTCCTTGGATAGTTGCCTGTGCTCCCTCAACTGTTGTTGTTATTGTTGCTGTTGATGTCATTGTACAGCTGCAAAGGCGCAGTCGCCAGCTGCAGAGAGAGAGAGAGAGAGACAGAGAGAGAGAGAGAGAGGGAAAGCTTACAACTGCGAGAGCGCGTGAGAGTGTGGCTGCGAGAGCGAACGTGTGTGTGCACTTCCTGCTGTGTGCGTCTCTTGGGGTGCACACGTCTGCGTATGTTTCGCACACTCAGCTGAGAGCTGCAGAGAGAGAGAGAGAAGGAGAGTGAGAGAGAGAGAGAGAGCGCGTGTTTTGGCTTTTGGTAAGCATTTGAAGAGCTGCCGCCGTTCGTTCAGTCGAGAAACGCAGCTCGTTTCATTTGGTCGTGTGTGCTCTGAATACGGTTCGAATAGTTTGGCCAACTGATTTATATAAACTCAATACAATATATACACAAGCATAATATCCATTTATATATATATATGTACATATATTGTACATTTTTCGGTTCATAAGTAAAAACAATTTCACGCGGCTTCCGTACGCAACGCAAAAGTCTGGCAAAAGTAGCTGCCACAATTCGAATAAATAAATATTGAGAATTCTATTAATAAAAAAAAAAGAAAAAATTAAAATTGAAACGTAATTGAAAGACTCGAAACGTCTGCGCCATTTGCGTCAATTGATGAGAAATTGCATTGGGCAAATATAAGCAAAATTCCATAAAGTTTCTTCGTTTTACGTTTCGCTCGATCGATAAACCTGTAAAAGGCGAGCACAACATTCTAATTGAACAACAACCAGCTACTAAAGCAAACCAAAGCAGCTGTATAGAAACAAATAACAACAACAACAACAACAACAACAACAACAGTACCCAACCCATCCACCCACCTAACTCGACCCAACCTGACCCGACCCACAATGACAATGCTCGAGGGCATGACGTCCATAGACTTGGGCTCCAGTCCCATGCAGGAGACCACTGGGGACATTATCGCAGCCGATGAGCTCATGGAGACGCCGGAGGAGAGGTAAACATTGACCAAAGAAATCAATTGAAACATTGTCAGTCGACGGATTGAAGCACTTTTCAACCCACGCCCACCCACATGCCAGCGCAAAACTCTTTGCTCTGATGACGTTTGACATTTCTTTCTTTTCGTTTTTAATTGCGTGACGTCATTTCAACATGAGCTCGACTCGTCTCGATTATGGCTCATAACTTCAACTAGTTGTCGTCTATAGATATAGCGCTCGATATGCCAATTGAGCATAACTATCGATGGGGTCCTTTAGACAGCTTGTCAGTAGTCATGCATTATTGAAACCACGTTCACCCACGACCCTGGGAATGGGAATCGGAATGGGAATGTTGCGCCCGGTTCCACTTTACCTACATGCCTGTCAATTCAAACTGAACAATAGCATGCAATTTGCGGGCGGGCTTGAGGCAGGCTATTGGCCATGAATACAGTAGTAACTGGGCAAAGTGTCTGCAACATCTTTATAAACTATGAAAGTGGAACTAACTTTAAGTTTCCGTTCAGCTAGACTAATTTAACTTGCCATCATTTAGTGAGTGCTCAATTATGTCCAAGTTCCACTTAGGCAGCTTTCACTGTAGCTGCTAAACGTGCTACCGAATGCCCAGTTGCCAGTTTAAATAACTGAGCCACAAAACTGCATTTTAATTTAACTCATTTTCGAAATTAACTAAAAAGAATAATCACAAAAACAACAGCAACAACAATTTTCACACGCTAATTGTTAGTACATAAATATACAGGGTATACTTAGTATAGTTATTAGAGAGTATATATAGTATATATGTATATATTTGATATGCATACAGATGTATCTTATTTGCACGCTGCGTCACAATGCGTCACATTCGTTTTATACGAGGGCAGGCTTTTATCTTAATCTGCTTTTCGGATGCGTTGCAGATGCTGTCGCTGGGCTTATCGGGTTTACGGCTTATCACTCGCTCAGCTGCTACCGGAGTTGCGTTTACCTGCGTCACTTTGCACCAAGCCAAAACAGACACACACACACACACACATACACACTCACACACCTACAAAAAGTTTGGTGAGGCGTGTGCCAGTAACCGATTCGAAACTGGTTAATTAACACCATTTGCCACCTGAATTTATATCGAAGTCAACGATTTCATAAATGACTCAGTCAGGCGCTCTACACAAAGCGCAAGATCAACATTTTAGCTAAAAAAAACAAACAATTAAACTGCATGGAAAATATAAGGAATTTTATTTAAAAAAACCAAGGCTTAAATTTCGAGATATATTTAGATCGTACGTCTCAAATTTTCGCTTGTCTCTGTTAACTGCAGGACTTTTCTGTAAACAACAGTCGGCTGTTAACAGTGTGTAAAACTGTTCTCTGTGCACAGTTTACCCTAACTTCTAACTAACAGCTGAAGCTGTCTAAGCTTCACATCACTGTTACTATGTTAAGTTATTAAATGAGCACAGTTGCCCGCTGCTAGTCCTAGCATCTGTTAATAAATAAAGCTGCTATTAACAGTGCCAGTTAAAATGTAGGTTTTTTGAAATGTTAAACAGTCTGTTTATTTGTTCTCAACAGCTGTAATTTCCCTCTATGCACACAAATTTTTGTACTCTTTGATTGCATTTTGCCTAGCAAAAAAAAAAAGCAGATAAAATAATATTTATATACATTCTACTTTACTTTTTAATTGCGTTGCTCGCTTTTTATCGCCCAAATATTTGCGCTCATTTTAGCACAATAATAAAGCCAAAGCCCCAACTAACTCATATCCAGGCACATGTCGTGAATATGAATGTGTTGCGAATTTTAAGCGGACAGCAAGGTAAACACAATTACGAGTACAACAGCTACTCGTGCTCATGATTTGATTGCCGTCAGCTACCGAATCAGTTGACTAACAGTTTAGTTAACTAAACAATATACTTTAAAGCTGGCCAACACGTCGTATACGCATTATTTGGCTTAGCCATAAGCCATTAGCAACTGAGTGGTATCAATAACAAGTTGAAGTGAATTGCCAATAAGAAATTCTATTTACACTTCTATTTACTCCATCCACAATTTAAATACTTTTCCATTTTACGCCCCCTTTACAGATATGAACGCCTGCTGCAGCGCGCACAAGTTGAGGATCTGAACGAGGTGTCTGGCATCGGTTGTCTATATCAGAGCGGTGTGGATCGTCTGGGACGACCCGTGATTGTGTTCTGCGGCAAATGGTTTCCAGCACACAATCTTGACCTGGAGAAGGTAAAGAAAACACTCGATTCAACTTTGAGAGCAACAACTAATCCCTGAAATAATCCCTTTGCAGGCCCTGTTGTATCTGATAAAGCTGCTCGATCCGATTGTCAAGGGCGACTATGTCATTGCCTACTTCCATACACTCACATCCACCAACAACTATCCATCGCTGCACTGGCTGCGTGAGGTCTACAGTGTCTTGCCATATAAGTAAGTCGATCGGACAGAATTAACTCTATCTCTCTCTCTCTCTCTCTCTGGTCGGTACTAAATCTTCAACTAATCCACAGATACAAGAAGAATCTGAAGGCCTTCTATATTGTGCATCCGACATTCTGGACTAAAATGATGACCTGGTGGTTCACCACATTCATGGCGCCCGCAATTAAGGCCAAGGTGCACTCGCTGCCCGGCGTCGAGCACCTGTATTCGGCCATAACAAAGGATCAGCTGGAAATACCCGCCTATATAACCGAATACGATATGGCGGTGCGTACCTAATACCTTTTTCATTCACCGATAACTCATATTAATCTTATGTTATTTTCATTTTTGCCTTCTAGACCAACGGCCTGCATTATTTTAATCCCGTGCCGACTGCCTCGTAGATGGCGGCCATTGTGGCTGTCTAGACAGCTCTAACCACCAGAAATATATAGTTATACAGGACATATATACACTAATACACACACAGACACCCACACACCTAACCATATATATATCTATATATATATATATACATATATATACAGAGAAAGGTATATTGAAATTTTTTATAAATTTTATAGAATTGTACTCTTGTTTTTTCCCTTTTTAATTGTAAGTCTCAATTTGTGTTTTATTGTTGAAATATAGATTTTGTGTAGGTTTAAAGTTAAAACTAACCAAAAATGGAACGCGAGCTGATCATGTGTAGAACTAGAAGATATATAGACGATATATACAAATATATACTGTAATCCGTAAAGGCAAGAACAAAGGAAAACCCGCAACCTGATAGCTAAATTAAAATGCAATCCAACAAAAAGGAAAAAAACATTCTTATAAAGTGCATGAAATTCAAAAAAAAAAAAAGCTACCAAACTTAGTTAATTTGCCAAAAAAAAAATTAAAAACCTAGCAAATGTTTCTGGGAAGCTAGCCGAACAAATTGAGAATTCGATTAGAGAAACTGTCGTTAATCAAAAAACAAAAATTAAAACAAGAATTAAACGCAATTGTATTACGGGCCGTGTACTTGTGCAGTTAGTACATATACTAACTCTTAAATGGACACTAAGAAAACAAATACGTACATACTATAAATTCAATTGTAATTATACAAAGGAAATCTAATTACCAGATTATATATATATATATATATACATATATTAAATATACACACTAAAAACCCAAAAAAATATATATATAATATATATAAATATTTGTTGCGATAAATAAAACCGAAAAAATAATTCCCAACAAAATTCATAATATATATTTGAAAATTGTTAAAAATGAAAACTTTTGTAGATACACATACTTATAAAATGAACAAATTTAATGAAACTAACTTAAACTATTCGATTAGAGCTCAACGCAAGGCCCGCAATTGAAACACCAACAAAAACAAACAAAAGAACAACCTAACGATTTCAAAATGTTCAATGTTAAATGGTTTAAGCCAAAACACACACACACACACACACACACACCTTGTTAATCTTCCATGCACCTTTGCGCTCAAAAAAACTCAAAAAAAAAAACCAAAAAAAAAAATCCATCAAACTAACAAATTACTTAACGTTTTTTCTTGACTTAACTAAAGCACTTGCCACCATTTTTGAGATTGGTAAAAAAATCAAAAAAATATATATATATGTAAAGAATTCGTATCTTAATGTAGTTAATGAGTAAACTTTTTTCAATTAGAGCACCCGCGCAATAAATCAGAAACCAAAATCAATTCTGGAATGCTGAAAACTGAGAATACTTTCAAGGCGACAAATTAATAATTATTAATTAAACTAGCACAAAAAAAAAAAAAAAAAAAACAAAAAACAAAACAATTACAAAACAAGCAAAACAAACACCAAAAACTTAGCAGCAATCAAGCAAGACGCAAAACAAGCAAAAATATGAAGCAAACAAATGCACTCAGGGATTGATTTAAAGCAACCAAAAAAAAAAAAAAAAAACAAAAAAAACAAACAAAAAAAAAACAAAAATATATAAAAAATATTTAGATAAAAGAAGTACGCTTTTTGGAAGCACAGCAAATATCGTAAACCTTTTGCATTGTTGCGCCCATTCGCAAATCGGCTGCCTGGCTAGTACCTAAAATAATTAGAAATAATTTATAGAGACAGATAGAGAGAGATAGAAAGAGAGAGAGAGAGAGAGAGAGAGAGCTAGCATTTAAATGATATGAGATTTAGCAAATGTTTTTAGGCTCTTTTATCAATTGAAATAAAACAAAATGAAATGTTAACTCATCCATCAACAAAAACATAAACAAATTTATGCCAAAGGAAAAAAAATGCGAACTTAAATTAATTAAATTGTACTCATATAGTTGGAATGTGCAGCAATCAAATTGCTTCTAAAACAGAATATATATATATTTTATTTTTGTCATCAACGCACACCCACGCCTAACTAGATCCCAATCATACAGGAGTACATAGATATATATAGATATATAAAGAAAGAGAGTTAATATAGGAACGAAATATTCAACTAGCTGCAATCCTTTTAACTACTGCGTCAACAGACTCTGAGCAAAAGCCCACAGAATATTATTATTTTTACAAGAATTACAAAGATAATCATATGCATCTAAAAGTAATTGAGATATTGTTGTTATTGAGAGTTTCGATTTCCCAATGCATTTTCCATAAAGTGTCATTTGTCGAATCCAGAAATTGGTAAACAGAATTCGTGCTCCCATTAAATCATCATTAATTTCCATTACCAGAACCCAACTATGCCAAGTGTTCCTTCTGAAATTGTATTTTAGAATTTCCTAGCACATTGATTTGTGTATATTCGTAGATAATTTATATAATTTAGTAATGAAGCCAACTACAATTAATTAGTAGAATTTCATTTGATGTCGTTTCTCCCACTCACTTTTGCTTTTATCTAAATATCTTTTATGAACGGTGATTGGTTGCTAATGAGAAATTAAATTAATTGTACCTTACTCGAAAGTTCTGCGATTGAATTTAGTGTAGCATAATATTGTATTTTTAAAATTCCTTATACATAGTTGTTAAACCAAAATTCTATATAGTATATACAAATGAGAAAAAGTTAATGAACTAAAACTTGAAATGGATTAAAGATTATGGCACAAGCGCAAAAGCAAAATTTAGTTAAGTTTTCCAATATGAAATTTGAAACCTCCTTTTCATTTTTTTTTTTTTTGTATATAATATTTATGTACGAAGCAACAAATTTAATTGGTAAATTAATAATAATAATATTAATAATAAAAAGAACATACGCTTTCGTTAAAATTAACCAACTAACCTTTTTTATTATTGTGTATAATTAACTAAACGCTAAACATAGATCAATGCTTATAACAAATTGTATTTAGATTAATCACTTAACATCACTTTTGCGCATCTAACAATTGCAACTTGTTTGTTTTTCAGTTTATTTTCAATTGTTGCGTTACGCTCGAAGTCATTTGAAAAGTAACGCCTTCAGTTTTAAGTGTGACCGAATTTGGCTGCATAGTAAATGCCAATGTGGCAATTTTGTGGGCAAGTTGGCAGCTCCGCGAAACAGTTATTCCGTGCGTTTAGTGTATTACAAGTTGTGTTTTTGTGGCGTTCGGCATATATTTATCTTTATACTGATCAAACATGCGCTCCAGAGCCTCCATTACCTTGCCGTGCAGCTCATCAACATACGCCGGATCCGGCTGTGCGCTCTGCACCACATCAATTGGCGCGCCAACTAAAGCAATGAACCAGTTCGCATTAAAACCCGAGATCGAAAGTCTTTTAAGCCCAGCTGAGCACTTACCAACTTGCACGATGGGTCGACGGTAGGGCACAAAGCCAAAGGTATAGTTGAAGAAGCCCCGGCCCACGGGAATCAGCGGCGATATGCCCGTCAGCTTCTTGACCATCGTCTGCAGCCGGCGCAGCAGCGAGTCCGGCGGATTGTCCACCTGATCGAAGATGTCGACTTCTCCAAAGGAAATGGTCGGCACAATCGACGAACTGCTCATGGGAGAGTGAATGCCGTGAATGTGCGTGCAGTTATCGCAGTCAGCCGTACTCACCCCGTGCGTATGGCCATCTTCACGAAGCCCTTGCGATTCTTCAGCGTAAGAATGTATTTGCCGGGATGCGAATCGAGCGCCTCCTGTGCGCCGCCAACCAAAATGGCCACAGCATTCGATGTGAAGCCATCACGATTGTCCGAATGCTTTGGGTCGTTGGACTTTGTCAGATAATAGACCAATGACTCCTTGGACACGGACACCAAGCCCCACCAGCGCAGCAAATCTCGCAGAAAGGGTATCACGAAATGCTGATCGAGTGTCGCCACCTTGGGACGCACCTGGGGAAAGTGCTGCAGCCAAAGGCTAATGTCCAGGCCCATATTGATGCAAATGCCGGTGCTACGAGTGGGTAAGTTAGCATACATATATATATATATATATATATAGCTGATAAGTTATCTGCATGTAGTTACCCAAGAATGCCGTGCGGAAAGCTGGCCAATATATAGTTTCTGTTGGGCGGCAGCTCCGCGGTCTTCACCAATTGCACAGGAAAATAATTACGATATATGCGGTACAGACAGTTCGTGCGGTTCAGCATCCAGCTAGATAAATTTATAAACATTAGCAGTGGGCGGGGGGGAGTGTGTAGGGGGAGACGTACCCATTGCCGTCCATGGCGGAGTAGGTGCGTTTGTGCTCGATATATATGTAGGCCGTATAGATTACCAGAAGAGTGCGTACAACAAAGCCGCCAAAGTACTGCAAAAGTTCATAATAGTAGACAGTGAAAACTTGGTCTTAACGGACAACTGGCTTGCGGCTACTTACCAGGAGTAGGGCCATGATCAGGAACGATGTCAGAGGCAGCGTGAAGAAGAACAAGGTGAAGAGGCCCGTGACCAGAGTCTCCAAGCGACGCTTGGGCGGCACTTTGACGGGCGCCCACTCGATCTTCATGTTGTACGGCGGAGTAGTGTGTGGCGAGGAGACTTGAGCAGCGGCAAGCGTTCGAGTTGATGACCCTTCGGCAACTGAACTGTTCCGGCAATGCCCGATGCGTTCTTAACCGTATCGCCAGCCGTCGCAAATCGCTGTTAACATTTTAAGAACAAATTTCAGTGATTAGTTAGCGATAAGTTTTGCGATTGATAAGCAGAGGCAAAGAAAGGCAAACCGCATGCCAGGCACATAACTACATTGCCTTCCATCCGTGCCCGTAGATCGAAGACAACATTTTACATGGGTTTCGTTTCGTTTTCGATTAGCAAAGCCTTATCAATTGGCGAATGCCTAATTCAACAATTAACTATTCACTTAACTGAATTGGGCTGTAAATCAGCTTGCTTTGCCGTATACAGAACAACTTATATAGAGTACAAAGAGTGCGTCGTGGCTGTCATATTCATGTTGCCATAGGCATAAAAAAACCACATGCATATATATGCGTCACATACATTGTGTGTGTGTGTGTGTCCGTGTGTGTGCGTGTCAGTCGTGACCTTTAGAATGATATACTTTGAGAACTATGAACATATGTATCTGTATCGCGCTCTTTCTTCCGCTCGCAACAGTCTAGCCTGGCGTGAAATTGTGTTGTGTATGGTCAATGTGTTTGGATCTGATAAGGGGGACAACGCTTCGTCTGTCGACTCTTATCAATATGTGTACAGATGTGAATTGGAATGGGTTGATCTGCTCGGTTTACGAGCCTATCCCATTATTTGCTTGCTCATGTTCGCTTACTCTCCAGCTGAATCATTTGAGTAAGTAAATAACATATTACACATGTTATTGTTGTTGTTGTTGTTATTAGCACACGATCGGCTCTCTACTTATCATTATCATACCGGGTGTACTTGATATATTTGTAATTAGTGATTCCAGCTCAATGGAAACCGGTGCAAGCCATATGCATTTGCATAACATTTGATTAGTCATACTGTTTATTTGAAGCGTTCACAAAATTAGATTAACTAAAATACCAGTGGGAACATTATTTTTAGCTTTATTGCTGTAAAAAACAACTGAGACACGCTTTTCCTAAATATGTGTATACAGAAAATTCCAAAAGTCGTTTCGTGTTTCCCAATTCACAAAATTACACACCCGATCAATTAGCCCTCTTTCTATATTGTTGAAATATATTTAAATCCGATGCGATCGTTGGAGAATCACTTTTTGTTTTGAAAAAGTTGCCGTTTAGCCAGCTGGCCAGTGTGACCTAAAAGTGCGGCACTAAAAATGCCAAAGATAATCTGCAGCTGGTCATACTTTTGTTGATATGCGCTGTTGCGCCTTGTTGGTAATGTATACATGTTATACAGTGGTGGCAAACATAGAATACAGGTATACAGATGTGTAAATATCGCTCATCTCAATTATATACACACACACACACATTTGTTGCGCCTTGGATGAAAATAAACAAAAACCATGGCCACCGAGGAGCATCAACGCTTGGCGAATATTGTGAAGAGCTGCCACGATAGCTTGAGGCAACTCACCAAATTATACGGAGCAGAGCGCGCCTGGCAGGAGCACACCGGACCGCACAATGCTAAAAAGCTGGCTGAATATGCAGATGCAATGCAGCAACTTGCTGGCATATGGGAATCAAATACCAACAAGACGGAGCTGCAAGCGCGCAGTCGCATCAAGTGGACCATCGACTATATAACCAAGTATTTCTACACCGAGGGCATCTATCTGCAGAAGCGCCAGCGGGAGCAGCGTTTGCTGGCGTCCTACAACGAACTGGCAGATTCTGAGTGTGCATACATGGATGAGCCGCCGGACAGAGTGCGTCTGTTGGATGTGGGCAGCTGCTTCAATCCGTTTGGCAATATACCGCACCTGGAGGTGACAGCCATTGATCTCTGCCCGGCACCGGGCGCTCTTGTGCTGCAGGGCGACTTTCTGACTGTGGACGTAGATGCCACTCTAAAGCAACCAGAGATAAGTAATCAGAGTGTGAAAAAGTTACCTGCTGGCTACTACCACTGCGTCATATTTAGTCTCCTACTGGAGTATATGCCCAGTGCCGAGCAGCGTCTGCTTTGCTGCCAGAAGGCCTACGAGTTGTTGGGTCCCGAGGGCATACTAGTCATCATCACACCCGATTCACAGCATGTGGGCAAAAATGCCAGTATAATGAAGAACTGGCGCTTTGCTCTGGCCAAGCTGGGTCTGTTGCGCGTTCGCTTCGAGAAGCTGCCGCATATCACTTGCATGGTCTTCCGCCGGGCTATCAGTCAGCATTTGTCCCAGCACTGGGCCAGCGTGCACCGAGAGGAGGGCATTTGTGAGACAATCCGCATTCCACAGGATGAGCATTAATTGAAATAATAGATGTCTTATATGCAAACTGTTATCTATGGATGTACTTGTATGAAGTATATTTATGAGTTCCTTCTTTTATCTATTTCTATGTCATAAATACTTATTAAATACTATTGCAGTTGTGATTCCTGCTTTGGGGCGTCCGCGGTGGGCTCAGCGGTTTGCGTGAATAGCGCTGGGCCGGCGCTGCTGGTCTGACGCTTCTTCATGGCCGTTGTTGCGCCCACCGCTTGCTGCATTATGTTGGGCGGCAGCGGCTTCTTGCGATCCGCCTCCCATTCGGCGCGATGCAAACGTTGCCGATGCTTGTACATGTTGGCATTTGAAAAGAACGTCTGTGGGCAATTGGGACAGGTGTACAACACCTCGCCCGTGTGCGTGGAAGTGTGTTCCTGTGAGCAAACAGTTGATTAGCATTGTTCCTCTAATTTCTATGTTTAAAGGTCTTCACTTACTCTCAAATCCTGTGGCCGCTTGAAGGCCTTCTCACACATGGTGCAGCGGAACTTTCTTTCGCACTGATGATTGTGATAGATATGGCGTTTGAGTGCGCGCGAGTTGGTCGACTTTTTATCGCAGATGTGACAGCGATGCTCGCCGCCCGGCGGTTCGTGCACTGTGCTCATGTGCTGCTTGAGACCGGACAAATGGCGCAGCCAAGTGCCGCATATCTCGCACTGCACCGGGTCGGGCTTGGGACGTGGCTTATCGGAATGCTCCAGTTCATGGTGTTTCTTTAGATTGGCCTGAGAGCGTAAGGTTTTGCCGCACTTATCGCAGATGATGGCAGTCTCTGGATCGTGCATATAGCGTAGATGTTCCTTCAGCTTGCGCTCTGTGGGCACCCTGTAAGAAAATAGGCATTCCGGATTAGGCACAGTTGGGAGATCGTGCAAAGTAATGCTAACTTCTTATTGCACTCGGGGCAGGTGTATTTGAAATCCGATTTGGGCACATGCTTGGACACATTGTGATACTCGACAGCAGCCTTTGTGGTGAAGCATTTGGGACACTTGTCGCACTGGTACATACGCTTATCCTTCGCATCCGCTTGAGGATTCGTGTGCGTTTGCTCGTGCGTCTCCAGCGATTTCGAGTCCTGAAAGACTCGGCCGCATTGTGTGCACATAAAATGCTCTGGATTCTTGTGCACCAGCACATGCTCAGCCAGAGCCCGGCGTATGTGAAACTTGCGACCACAGCAGGCTATGAAGCCGCTCTCAATGTTGTGGGACATGCGCTGATGGCGACGCATGTCGCCGAAGTTGGGCACCAGCAGATTGCACATATGACATGGCAGCTTCTTGAAAAAGTCAAATATAATCTCATCGAATTCGTTTTGCTGTGCTTTACGCTTCTCGATCTCCTCTCGGCTCATGCGCACAGGCGGCACCAACGGCTTGGGACGCTTGCGATACTTTTTGGGCTTGACTACAATGCGTTTGGGTATTTCCGCATAACGTTCTTCTGGCTCAATGTCGGGCAAACTATTGCCGGAGTCACTGTCGCTGCTCTCGCTGGAACTGGCACTGTCCTCAGTGCCCAGCAATGCCTCGGCTGCGACAAACTCCCTGTCATCATTATCATGCTCTTCTTCCGATTCGAATTCCTTCTTCATGCAGGTTGGCGGTGATTCTGGCGGCGTTTTTGAACGGCGTCCACGTCGAGAGCTCCGGCGCAGCTGTCTTCCCTTGGCTGTAATTGGTTTATCGCTCGCTGCTGCTTGCTTTGCAGGCGTTTTTAGGTCCAGGAACTCAGCCAACGGTATGTCGCCATCCGAGTCACTGGCGAGCATCGGCTGCTCGTTTTTAATGCGCCGCTTAGCACTGGCTGGATATTCAGCACAGGTCCGTTTTGTTGCACTGCTCTTCTCTGCCAGCACCGGCTCCTCGAGCATTTCAAGCTTGGGCAGCGGCTCCAATTCGTTCACCTCTACCTTGACATCGCCAGTTGCAAAGAAGTCCTCGGCCAGGGCATCCAGTTCTCCCCCAAAGGCGAGAGGATTGGCTGCCTCCGATTCGTCGCAGAATTCGATGGGCACATTTTTGACATCGCAGCGTCGTTCCTGGTGGGCATTGTACACACGTTGATAGAACTCATTGAAGCTGCTGACGCACTCCCAGCACTGGCGGCAAATCTCCTCCTGCTCGCCGCCTGCGCTGCTCAGCTGCAAAAAGTTAAATCAAAGCAAATGTGCAACTAGCACGAAATCGCGCCCTTACCTCCAGCCAAAAGTGTTTGTTTATTGTTTTGCAAATGTTGAGCCGCGAACCAGCCTCGGAAAATATCTTATACGATTCGCCATTCTTGCAGCACCCAAAACAGAGCACGCATGCTGCCATGGCCTAGTCTATTGCCTTGTGTTCGTTGCAATAGCTTATGCAGCCGCCATTTGCTAATAGCAAAAACAAATTTGTTTAAAAACAAAAATTTGTTTCTTTTTTTGTTGACAGTCGACAAATTTGTGGAGGTCGGATGATGCCCGAAAAAGTAAAGTTGCTATCGATTTTTCTGCCAGTGTGTGCCCTCTCGTTAATCGATAAAAATATCTTAAGCTACAACGGTCACACTGATGTGAATTCAAATGCCATTACGATAAACATCAGTCAGTACGTTTTCAACGGTCGTGTGGTGTGGTTGTAGAAGAAAGTCAGTTGACGCAACAAAAATTTGAAATAGACTTTCTAGCCCGACATATAACGAACAAATGCCAAAGAACGCGCAGTCTAACATGTAAACAAAAAGATAACAACTAAAGCATTGTACAACGAGACGCACACAACAACTACGACTATTAAAGTCAATTGAATTATTAAATAAAAAAAAAAAAAAAGAAACGACAAAAACAGCATAATTTTGCAATTGCCTTGGCGTCTGAACAGTGCCAGGCAACTTTTATGACTATATGTAATTGAATGATTCGTTTTTGCGTTTTTTATTTATTGTCTGTCTGCAGAATTAACACTTTTTTTCTCGCTCGTGTGTTTGGATGTTAAATTTGTCGCTCGGTTGGCCAATTGCCGATTTTCATTGCCTGTTTTTCAATGCGTTAATTGTTACAAAATACAAAACAAACTTCCTTCATTTGGCATGTGGAAATTGTGGAATTTCTTTTATGTTTGGCCAATTGTAGTTGTTACAGTTGACTTGAACTTGGGCCAATTCAATTGCATTTGTTGTTCAATAGCAGCTGGTTTGCAATGAAAACAAGCTGCATGACACATTTGCAGCTACAGTCAACTTCCTTTATTAGACCTTTTACTTTTGTTTATGAATGAATGCGCAACAGTTGCGTGCTGCACACAAATGCCTATTCACTGGATTGCCACCAACTAGTTGCAGTTGCATTCCGCATGGACTTGCCACTTGCAACGGGCTCGATGTGCGGGATCTATGCGGCAGCCGGTTCGCTACGCTTCGCATCGCTGAGCCTAAGCCTGGGGCCTGCTCTGGTCTGGTCTGGTTTGGTTTGGAGTTTGTTTTGGATTTTCTTTTACGTAACGCCTAGCCAGGCACGAGCCAACCTAGTTAGCAATATTTGTATGTGTGTGTATGTGTGTGTGTGTGTGTGTTTCATTTTCACTCTTTATATTTTTGTTGCACTTGCCGAAGCAGTCAACGCAGCCAAAGTCCAGCATGACTCGAGCATAGAGCAGCACGTTTTTATTATCGCACATTTCTTCTACGGAATATTAATAGGTACATCGAGCAACAACAACATTAACAACAACAATAACAATAACAATTACAAGCAACAAAAGCAAAACAAAACTCGACCCAGCGCATCGCTTTGAGGAAACTGAATTCCAACTCCCGCGTTCATTGGCCAACTGACATCCAAATCGGAAGTTCTGCTGCGCATAATCAAGTGGATCGGCCATAAATTAAACATTCTATACAGAACAGACGCAGCATATTCAAATTGCCGGAGAAACTGTGCCAATCCTTAAGCCAAAACGCGTTAATTATTTCGTTTACAAAATGAGCGAACGCATGTTTTGCACAATTTGGCGATTTTCGCTATTGTCGTCAGTTTTATTGCTGACATTCGTGGAGCAGGCGAATGCCTATGGATTTGGACGTTGCCCGAAGTATCCATCGATGCCAAAGTTCAATATGAGTCGAGTAAGTTCCACTGTACATGCAATCCCCCAGCCCAAATGGACTACAACAATAAAACTTAATACATATATCAATTTTTGGCACTGCTATAAACAACAAAAAGCTGTGAAATTTTCCATTAATTAGTACAAGGCGTCGGCCGGAGCATTGTTTTTTTTTTTTTTTTTATTATTATTTTTTATAGATTGTGCATAAAGATGAACTTGAGCCAATTTGAGGTCTGCAACAATGTAAAAGTGCAAACCAGTTTAGAGCAAAGCAGATTTAAAAAAAAAAACTTAATAAACTTTTTAGGCACATACATACATATCTATATTTGTTCGTCTCGTAGTCACCAATGGCAAACAATCCACTTCTTTAACATATTCAAGAAGCCATCAAGCGAACTACTTGAGACCATGTCCAAGCCGACGACTTCATTGGCACGCCAAGGACAACAACAATGAGACCAAAGATCAAAGAGATCTTCTCGTTGCTGCTGTTAATTTTTTTTTTTAGCTGAACAAACTAGAAAATTGCCTTAATCAATTTAGCTGCCCAATTACATTAATCATACGAGGGGAGGGGGACTTGCATGTAAACGCATTCACTTGACCGCCTTGAAATCACTCGGAGTTCCATTCGCGTAAAATGAACAAATTACCATATCCACAGCATAATAGGCAAGTGAGAGCTACGAACAAAGCGCAGCTCTTAGAGATGATCGCTTTTTAGACTGCGACTGAAGAAAATTTAAGTAGAGAATCTGTCGAACGGGATTTTCAAATCTAAATGTTAAATTTACAAGCTGCTTGTAACTCCCTGCTGCTTGCCACATAAAAACCTTCGATTATAAAGTACAAAGTCATGTAGAGAATTTTTTTAGAGCTATTTTCAAATCTAAATGTTGAATTTACAACCTGCTTGCAACTCCCTTCTACTTTTCACATCAATCCCTTTGAAGCAGATCGTGTGTGCTTTGTGTCACGTGCAAATTAAATTAAAGAATCTCTTGAAACTCATTTTCAAATGTAAATGTTAAATTTACAAGCAACTTGTAACTCCACTCTGCTTGCCACATCAATCCCTTCGATTGTAAAGTGTAAAGTAAAGTAAAGAATATCTCGAAAGTTATTTTCAGACCTAAATGTTAAATTTACAACCATCTTGCAACTCCCTTTAACTTGCCACATTAATCCCTTTAAAGCAGATCGTGTGTACTTCGTGTCACGTATTCAGCTCCAGCTATGCTTGGAGGCTGCAGTAGCTCTTATCTCGCTGCGGGCAGCTATTAATTGGATAAGTTGACGCTTCCAATTGAGCTGCTGATAAGCGTGAATTTAGCTTGACATGGTTCGCTTAGGGGGGCAAAGACCTCGAGCCCAAGAATAATTATCCACTGAGGGCTTTATGACAGCCACCAGCCACCAGCCACCAGCTGGCAGTTATCAGTGGCATCGGCTACTGGGCAATGTTTAAGCGCTGCCAGCACTGAAACCAGTTTAACGATAAATAAAAACTCTTGAAATGTTTATGTTTTACGCAGGGAGTGGAGGCAGTTGTTGTTTTTTTTTTCTGCTTCTCGTTTTTTGTATAATAGTAACCCAGTTAAATGCTTACTCATCGCCCCAAAGAGAAACGCAGGCCGCAGATCTTATTGAACTTATTTCTAATGCCTGCGTCCAATTTGTATTTAAACTATTTCAGGTGCTGGGCCACTGGTTCGAGGTGGAGCGTTCATTTTATTTGCCAGAAATTGCCTCGGGCTGCACCACCTTTGAGTTCCAGCCTTACAGCAAGGCGGAGCTGTCGAAGTTCAACAATTTCAAGCTGGAGGTGGCCATCAAAACAGTCAATCGCATGTAGGTAGAGAGTTTCGCTTATTTTAGTTATTATTTTGTTATTTTATATGCATTTTCCTTAGCACTGGTAATCCAAATGTTAATCTGGGCTATGCCACGCCGGAGAACAGCAAATCCTCCATAATGGACTTTAAGGTATGTGTAGCATTTATTTCATTTCTCATTTGGGTGGGGGCTATATCATCATGGACATCACCTCATCCTGGACAACATACTGACTATGTGAAATCTTAGTTCAACACGCGTTTCCCGGAGGTGATTGCCCGTCTATTACCCGGCTCTGGCAAATACCAGGTGCTCTATACGGACTACGATAACTATGCCATATTGTGGTCTTGCGGCAGCATCGGCTCCCTCGGCTATGCCGATCAGATCTGGATATTGGGACGCGAAACGGACTTTGTTGTGGAGATTCGCGAGAAAATCTACGATGTGCTCAAGCGACTGTCCCTCGATCCGGAGCGACTGGTGATAAGCAAAAACACCAACTGCCCCAAACTGCACTGATTCAATGCCTTTCCATATATTTATATATAACTATATAACTGATTGTTTAAGTATCATATATTGAGTCTATTGTATAGATTATAGGCCTTAGGTTGCTGTGATATCGCAAAGTAGAGCTCTGTTTTGCTTTGCGAAACAAATATAAATATGCGAAATTTAATATTTGAGCACGATATGGGTGATTCCTGGCCAGCAGAGTTCCCTCCCCGCCAATTATTATGAATACTCTAATTAATTTCGTGTATGCACCTAGAACCTGCCCATCCGCAAATTAAGAGAAATTATTTTAGTCGCAGTACGAGAACGAATCGCGTAGGAAACATGTCGAAATTGTGGATATTGCTGCTGTTCGCATTGCTTCTCAATGGGCTGGAGATGCCGTTGGCGCGAGGAGGAGGAGGAGGCGGTGGTGGCGGAGGACACGGCGGTGGAGGCGGAGGACACGGTGGTGGAGGGCATGGCGGCGGAGGTCGTGGCGGTGGCTTTGGAGGTGGACGTGGCGGAGGAAGACCTGGTGGATTTGGAGGCGGTCGTCCTGGAGGCTTTGGAGGCGGTCGTCCTGCCGGTTTCGGTGGCGGACGGCCTGGCGGCTTTGGCGGTCCACCAAGAGGTGGCTATGGGCGACCATACGGTGGTTATGGCCGTCCCTACGGCGGCTATGGCTATGGAGGCTATCGACCCTATGGCTACGGTGGCTTTGGACTCGGCGTTCTGCCGCTACCCGTTCCCGTGCCATATCCATGTCGACGTCCATATTCGTATGACTATGACTATTACAACGGCTACTACTGCTGATAGAAGAATCAAAGAGAAGAGGGCTTTTGTTTTGTTTTTTTTTTGATTATGAAAGGTATATATTATACAAATTACATCAACATTTCAGTTACAAAGATTATTATGTAAATGTCCTAAGAAATTGAGGCTGTAGACAGTTCTCTAAATAGTTTATATATCATATTCCTTATTGTTTGATGGTCTTCGGTGTTTGTTGTGATTCGTTTCCAAGAGTGGGCAGTGCGGACCGCTCTCTAGTGATAAATACCGAGTATAGCACACCGGCTTCCCGGTGCACTTGAGCTTAACTCTAATAAAAACCGATTGGCATTCAATCTATATATATATATATATATATATGTAAATATGTTTGCAGTTAATTAAACATATTTTGTCTACGGACTAGATATGAGTACGAGTACCAATAAAATGGCTGACTTAATGCATTCGTTGTAAAAAGTAATATCATAATGATAATAATCATAATATAATATCATAAATTATCATAGTAATTATAATATTTGCAAGTAGAGATACAAAGAGCCATTAAATAACTAGCAAAAGGATAACGTCAGACATGTAATCAAGAGGAAACAGCTTTGAAAATTACAAGATACAAAAGTAAAGTCCTCTCAGGAATAGTTCCACGGAATATAAAAACAAAAGGAGAAATAACTAAAACTTATATGTGTGTGTAATTTGTGCGTCTGCTCCGGAAGACAGCTTGGAGAGCATTTGGATTACGGATACGGATTCGTTGAGAATGTCTGAAACAGTGACGGAATAATTTCGATTTATATTTGCTGGCTAGCAGATTCGTGGTTGGATGCATCCTAGAGCATCGCCTTGCACTCGCTCTCAGCAATGCTGTGCTGGATGCAGTGATTGATTTCCGCGAAGCCAGGTCGTTCGCTGGGCTTGCTATTCCAGCAGCGCCGCATTAGAGCGTAAACGGAGAGCGGTGTATTGTCCGGACAGCCGAGCACGTTGCCCTCCTTGATGTACTTGATGACCTCGGCGTGCGTCAGGCCAAAGTAGGGCTGCAGAGCAAAGGAAAATATCTCCCACAAGCAGATACCAAAAGCCCACACGTCCGATTCCAGCGAGAACTTGTTGTACAGAATGCTCTCAATGGGCATCCAGCGTATGGGTATGACATCGTTCTCATCGCCCTTGTAATAGTCCTGCAGATAGATCTTGTGCGAGAGACCGAAGTCCGCTATCTTGACGGTCATGTGCTCATTAATGAGGCAGTTGCGTGTGGCCAAGTCGCGATGCACAAACTTGCGCTCGGCCAGGTACAGCATGCCGGAGGCCACATCCGAGGCCATGTGAAGCAGCTGCAGCTCATCCAGCTGCTGTCGATTGCGTGTCTGCACCTGATGAGTCGCATACGGCGAGCAGGCGCGCAGGAATTCGCTCAAATCCCCTGGCGACATGTACTCGAACAGCAGACACATGGGTCGACCCAGGGCACAGACTCCCAGCAACTTTACAATGTTGGAATGATCGAACTCGGCCAGCAGACAGGCCTCGCGCTCAAAGTCCGTTTGCATTTGTTCGCTGGCATCATCCTTCAGCATCTTGACGGCCACCAGCAAGTCTTCGTTACCCGGAACCAGACCCGGCGCCTTGGCCTGAAAGACGCGCCCAAAGGCGCCCTGGCCCAACGAGCGTACATAGACAATCTCACCACGTGGATACTCCAGCTTCTCCAGGCGAGCATTTAGTTTTGTCTTCGGCTCCTGCACCGCAGCCGTGGTCGTCAGCATGACGCAATTGCTGTGTATGGTCGCAGTGCTGCGTATGGTGCCGCACTTGAGGCTAGTAGGAGCATAGCCCGTCGAGCCGAGGGTCTCCCGACTGGCGGACAGATTGCAATCACCGCGCACGGAGGCGCCGCATTCCCCATGCGCTGCCTGCGACGGCTGCGAGTAATCCTTGTGCTTGGACAGTTTGTAAGCCAACAGTATGATCAGATGCAATGCCACAATGCCAATGAAGCCGATGCCTGCCAGCAGGAATATCATCGAGGGCGTAAAAAACTCCTCCATTTTAATGGGTGTGTTCAGATCCTTGGCATTGGGATCCACATAGTCAGCTGCAAGTGAAAGGAATGCACTTAGATTTGGCGATGGATTCAATGTCCAGAGTCAACCTACGGCAAAGGGGTATATCGCAGTGTTGCCAGCGCACAGATTCGTCCAGGGTGTAGCACCAAGGTGCCGGCTCCTCACCGCCGGCATTGCGACAGTAGTTCTCGCCCTCGGTAAGCTGTGCAAAGACCAGCGGCGGTTGTATGTGCTTGTGCGGATGCTGTGTATCCCAACGCTGGCAGGGTATGCCCGACTTGGTTACATTCATAGTGCCCAGATAGTAGCGCCCGTTGCCATTGCGACAGTCATCTACAGGGACGCAAGATTAGTGCCTGTGGCAAGCGAATCCGTTGCTGTTAATACTCACAGCTGACCTCCGACTCCTTGATTTCGGCGAGGCCTATGTACGAGCAGCTGGAACGGCGCATGCTGGCATCATAATGCGGCAGCGCCGTGCAATTGGGTAGCCTGAAGTGAGCCCGACTCTTGAGGAACATATTGCGCTCCCTCTTCTCCTCAATCAATACCCAGTCGTTGTAGCAGAACTGTAGGTGCGTGGCCTGGCAATCCTCGAAGCAAAGCGGCGCCTTGATAGTGCGTCCGTTCTCGACATGGCAGCGTGGAAACGCATAGGCACAAAGCATTTTCTGGAAGGCAAGAGAAATAAGTTACTTGAAGATGCCTTGGTCATGTGATACTACCTCAGCCGCCTCGCGGCACAGGCCCGTCAGATCGACAATTAGCTCCTCCCAGAGCGCTGTGGTGATCTGCTCGTTGTGCCAGCCGCCAGTTGGATCCTCCAGACTGTACCACACGGGACCGCTAATGAACTGTTTGCACACTTTGCCATTATACGGCGCACAGTAGCCCTTCTCCTCCCGCTCCCGCTCGCGGTCACGCTCGTAGTCTGTGCTGTGGTGTCGCTGGTGGTGGCGTCGCGCCGGCTCCTCCGTCTCGATGGCGTTCAGTGAGTTGGCATTCGCTTCGCATGTAAACAATAACATGCAAATAGCAACGGCAACAACAACAACAAGCACAGAAATAAAAGTTTGGCCACCTCTGGCCCCAAGCCTGACAGCCCCCAGCCCGGCCGCCATGGCTGCCACCCCTTGTGGTATGTGTCTGTATATGTAAATACTTATGCAGGAAGCTTTCGTTTTGCGTTTTGTTTGCCTTCCTTTGCCGAAATTTTAACGGTCGTCTTTTAGGCGCCCTTTAACAAGATTTCACGCATTTTTTATGTTTTCTATTTAGAGAATTACTAAAGCACTTTTTTGAGATGCTGGCGGCACTTTATAGTAAAAATATAAGCTCATCGAACTCTATACGCCGTACTGTGCGCTCGGCACTCGCCTCTGTCGACGCCTTTTTCAGAATACCACAAAAGTTGACAACCCAATTGGGGGAAGCGTCCCCATAGGGGTGGTTTTCCATACGAGCACAAGAACAGGGTTGTTTGTTGCGCGGCAAACCTCGAGTTTATTCTAGTTGTTTACAATCTACCTTAAGTCACAAATCATTTGGAATAGTCAACATTTTTTTTTTAACTACTGTTTGGTTTCTTTCTTCTTCTCGTCTTTCTTCTCCTCCTTTTCCTCCTTCTTCTCTTCCTTTTTCTTCTCTTCTTCTTCGTCCTCAATCTCTTCCAGGCCCTGTAAATAAATGCCCTTGAGAATCGGTAATAGACACTAGATTCTACGAAACTACTAAACGAGCGCAACCTGCTAAAAAAAACCCTAACTAAAAGATATAACTTTTCAATTTCGTACTGTAAATTTATTCACTTTTTGCACTTAAGCTTAACAGAATTTCAACTACGTTACATTTATTTTTTAGACTCATCTGGTATAGCATGGAGACCCTGTAAAATAATGAGACGAATTCTCAATTTTTTAAAATTTGAAGATAAGCTTATGAGGTTGGTTAGGAAATTCGTGCAACGTAAGGGTTAAATGAGAAAACATGGGCATGGACAATTTGTGAATATGGCATAAAGAAGTGAATAATGAATAATATAGGGATTATATGAAGAACGTGACATATTACAAATAATGAAATGAAACTCAATCAACATAGTTAAACAAATGAAACAGGTCGATAATAGTTGGCATGCATAGGAAACTAAAATTAGAGATATCACTTACGTTCATAATGTAGGGATTGTTGGTCAGTCGGAAATCGCGCTGGTACATAACACGGTCGAATCGTTCATCCATATTGCGGCGATAGGCCTACATATAAATTACAAAATTAAGCATAACAGTTGAAAGTGTGCAGCGGTTTTAGTAGAATTTGGATGCGTTTGGCAACATTGGTGGCGCGTTTAAATCATGTTTAATAAATTATGTTTAGTGCCCAATCAACGGAGAATATTATATAAGAATTTTGTTTTGCTGCAACAGACACTTACATTGCCCAGAGTCAGCTTCTGCAGGCCGTACATTGCGTATATGGGCACAGAGAGAGCCACGGTGATGATAGCCGCGCTAGGTATGATTTCAAACCACATTTTGACTGAGACACCAAAATTATTATGATATTTTGTCACAAAAAAACACGGCCAAATGACGGTGGCAGACAGCTGTTATGGTCGGTCGGCTATCGATGTATCGATATACTCTAACAGAAATCGTAACAGCTATTGCATGAAATTAAAGTCAGTGTGTAAAACATTTTATTGTTTTTAATATGTTGTTGTAAGATGTTGGTTATTATGTTGGTGTTTTCTGTTATGTTACTAACCAATTAATTCGCGGCATAAGCAAAACAGTTACAATTCGATAATTAACTTGGCTGGCGTTGCTACACTGTTAACAGAGCAGCTGAAACATGTAAAGTGTGGCAACGCCACACCCCCTCAAATATACATACGTATGCAAAGGAGAAGACGAATTACCGCAAAATCATTTTATTAAAGGTGCATCGAAGCTAGAAAGCAGACAACAGTCGACATACCAATCACGTGATAGAAAGGATATCATTTTTGAAGTGCACATCGATCAAACCCAAAAGAAGGATATACAAAAAATCATTAAAAACGACAAGAACAGCGAACAAAAAATATTAGAAAATATGGCAAGCGATTTAAGCGGCATTGTCGAGTCATCGTTTCCCACGGGTGCATTGGTACGTATACATACATATAAGTATTGACTTTGCATAAAAAAAGTTATTTCTCAATTTCGCCAGGTACCGAAAGCGGAGACGGGCGTGCTGAACTTTTTACAAAAGTATCCGGACTACGATGGCCGAGATGTAACAATAGCTATCTTCGATTCCGGGGTGGATCCACGTGCAACCGGACTTGAAGTAAGTTTCCGTCAGTCAAGAGTTCTCTTATATCCTTTTCATTTATTTGCCACTTCTTTTATAGACGCTTTGCGATGGCAAAACGCTGAAAGTCATTGAGCGCTATGATTGCTCGGGCTGCGGCGATGTGGACATGAGCAAGAAGGTGACGCCAAGTGAGAAGGGCACCTTCAAGGGTCTGTCGGGTCGCTCACTAAAGCTCAGTGCGGAGCTGTTGGCTCTTAACACAGACAAGGAACGTGCTGTACGGGTGGGCCTGAAGAGCTTCAATGATTTAGTGCCAGCAAAGGTGCGCGACAACATTGTTGCTCAGGCAAAGCTGAAGAACTGGGACAAGCCACACAAGATGGCCACAGCTAATGCAAGTCGCAAAATAGTTGAATTTGAATCTCAAAATCCAGGTAAGTCAAAGGCAATTCCACTGAGTCACGCTTAACGCTATTGTCTATTTCGTAGGCGAAACTCCCAAGCTGCCCTGGGACAAAAAGATAATTAAGGAGAACCTAGATTTTGAGCTGGAAATGCTAAACACTTATGAGAAGCTATACAACGAGGTCAAGACCTCCTATGACTGCGTGCTCTTTCCAACCGAAAATGGCTGGTTGACCATCATAGATACAACAGAACAGGGCGACTTGGAGAAGGCACTGCGGATTGGCGAATACACCAGGACACATGAGACCAAGAATGTCGATGATTTCCTCTCGATTTCGGTAAATGTCCATGACGATGGTAACGTGCTAGAAGTGGTGGGCATGTGCTGTAAGTACAATAAACATTTAGTTCCATTCGTAGCTAAATGTCTTTATTTGTCTGCATACAGCGCCGCATGGCACGCACGTAGCATCGATTGCCAGTGGCAATCACAATTCCAGGGACATTGATGGTGTGGCGCCTAATGCCAAGATAGTGTCCATAACCATTGGCGACGGCCGTTTAGGCTCTATGGAGACGGGCACGGCGCTCGTTCGCGGCATTACGAAGGTCATGGAGCTGTGCCGTGAGGGCCGACGCATTGATGTGATCAACATGAGCTACGGCGAGCACTCAAACTGGTCGAACTCTGGGTAAGCACTAGCTACCATGTAGCAGATTTTAGCATTACAATTGTGATTTTAGCTTGTTTGAAGAGCTCAATTCGTCTGTCGATAAAAAGCGCAGAAGAATCAAGATTAGTGCTCCGAGGTAAATCGAATGACATACCCAATCCCGCATCCCAACAAACTACCCAATCCCACACGTATTGCATTACACAAATACGTCTCGATCCGAGCAGTTGTCTGTGTTTACTTTCGTCTCGCTGCGAAATCTCTTACTCAATAAACAAGCTCCAATAAACACTCATATTTGTTTAGGTTGATAAAACAAACGAGTCAGCGTTATAAGATCTTTGGATTCTTGGCACTTTTCAACTGTTATACACTATGTCTTTGCAGCCGTATTGGTGAGCTGATGAACGAGATTGTCAATAAGTATGGCGTCGTCTGGGTTGCTTCGGCAGGAAATCATGGACCGGCGCTCAGCACCGTCGGCACTCCGCCGGACATCAGTCAACCCAGTCTGATAGGTGTCGGGGCCTATGTCTCGCCGCAGATGATGGAGGCAGAGTATGCGATGCGTGAGAAGCTTCCCGGCAACGTATACACATGGACATCACGCGATCCCTGCATCGATGGCGGACAGGGCGTGACGGTGTGCGCACCCGGCGGCGCCATTACATCCGTCCCGCAGTTTACCATGAGCAAGTCGCAGCTGATGAATGGCACAAGCATGGCGGCACCACACGTAGCCGGTGCAGTGGCCTTGCTCATCTCTGGCCTGAAGCAGGAGAATATTGAGTATTCGCCCTATAGTATTAAGCGCGCCATTAGCGTGACGGCTACCAAACTTGGCTATGTGGATCCTTACGCACAGGGCCATGGACTGCTAAACGTGGAGAAGGCTTTCGAGCATTTGCTTGAGCATCGGCAGTCTAAGGACAACATGCTGCGGTGAGTATTGCTAGTTTTAGTCATTGATATCGTCTATAGTTTTTGCCTCCTCTGCTCGCTGCAGCTTCTCTGTGCGCGTGGGCACCAACCAAGCTAAGGGCATTCATCTACGCGAAGGCGTGCAGCGCAAGTTCGTTGACTTCAACGTCAACATCGAGCCGGTCTTTTTCAACGACAAGGAAGTGGGTGAGTTGTATATTGAAGTGATCTTCAAATTCATCTTCTTATAACTGTGAGCAATACCTGCAGATCCCAAAGAGAAGTTCAATTTCAATGTGCGTCTTAGCCTCTTGCCCTCGCAGCCATGGGTGCAGTGCGGCTCTTTCCTGGACCTCAGCTACGGCGTACGCTCTATTGTGGTCAGAATTGATCCGACTAGCTTGCAGCCAGGCGTGCACAGTGCTGTGTAAGTAGCTGCCGCTTGTGCTATCTATAATTCCTTTTAATTTATATCTCCACAAATGCAGGGTTCGTGCCTACGACACGGACAACGTAAGGAAGGGTCCATTGTTTGAGATACCCGTTACTGTGGTGCAGCCCCATGTGTTGGAAGACAACCAAAACACGCCCATCTACGAGCCTGCCTCAAATAGGGCCGACAAGAGCGTTGAGTTTCAGCCCAATACTATTCAAAGGGACTTTATTCAAGTGCCGGACAAGGCCACCTGGGCAGGTGTGTGCCCATGCAAAAACTATAATGAGTTGATAAACCTTTATATACGTTCTAGTGCTGCGGCTGCGCATAACTGATCCCAATCGGGGCAACGACATTGGAAAGTTCTTCTTGCACACGAATCAACTGCTGCCGAATCAATCGTGCCGCAAACTGGAAACCATGAAGATAATTGGCGTCAATTCGGAATTTGAGGCCACGGCCACCTTCCGTGTTAAGGTAAACTGAGCAGCAATTAAAGATCGTCTATAAACGAGGCAATTATTCAAATCCCCTCTTGCAGGCCAACAGGATACTGGAGCTGTGCATAGCCAAATATTGGTCGAATCATGGGCAGAGCCATTTGAAGTACAGCCTTGAGTTTCACGGCGTGGCTGCCCTAAATCCCAACGCATGTAAATATGCTTCCAGAACCGAGTGCTAAATTGCTTTTTAATGTTACGTTTTATGCTATTTTAGATGTCATGCACGCTGGTCGTGGCATACACAAGCTGGAGATTGGAGCGTTGGTGGCGGAGGAGATTCAACCACTGCTGCAGCTCAAGAATGCCGCAGTTGTGCTCAAGCCCACCGAGGCAAAAATTTCGCCATTGAGCGCGACACGCGATGTCATACCGGAGGGCAGGCAGGTCTATCAAAATATTCTTGTCTACAATCTGAATGTAGCGAAGGCAGCGGAAGTAGCGTTGTATGCGCCTCTGTTCAACGATTTGCTGTATGAAGCCGAATTTGAGTCGCAGATGTGGATGCTTTTCGATGTGAACAAAACTCTGGTTGCCACCGGCGACGCGCATTCTCACACGTTCTTTACGAAGCTGGAGAAGGGGGAGTATACGGTGCGGCTGCAGGTGCGTCACGAGAAGCGCGAGTTGCTCGAGAAAATCTCAGAGGCCAATCTTATTGCGGCCTACAAGTTGGCCAATATGCTCTCGTTCGACTTTTACGACAGCTACAATCAGTGTATTATCAGTGGCCGCAAAATTACATCTGCCAAGGTGCGTGAGACTACCAAAATGCTCTATATTGCACCCATTGCTCAAGAGAAGCTCACAAAGGCAAATTTGCCGGCGCAATGCGCCTGGCTTGCCGGCAACCTAATCTTTCCGAAAGATGAGGGCGGCCGTCGTATTGCCCTGCATCCCTTCACCTATATACTGAATCCGGCCGAAAAGAAATCAACCGCTAATGGCGCCGCCAATGGAGCTGCTGCTAATAATGCCAGCCCGGCGGCGGCCGCCGCTGTCACCGCCAATGGAGCTAAACCGAAGGCAGCAGCCACGCCCCAGGGTGCAACAAGCGCTGCGAATTCAGCTGGCGGTGATGGTGTTACACTGCAGAGCGAAGTGCCCGCCAACGGAGGCGGTGGTGCGCCCAGTTCTCCCCAAAAGGGCAAGACCAGCGCCGACGACTATGCCGAGAGCCTGCGAGATTTCCAATGCTCTCACATTGCCAAGTGTGGTAAGTACAGGACCCCGATGGACACCAAGTGTGCACAGCTGTTCACTTTTTGTATATTTTTAGAACTGGAGAAGGCTGAAAAAATATACAACGATGTTATTGCTGCACATCCCAAGCATCTTCCGGCACATCTGCAGATGATCCAAAACATCGAGTCGAGCGAGCTGAAGAGCCAACTACCGTTCGCCTTCCTCGCTGCCCAGCAGAACTCAAACAAGGAGGGTGACAACGCCAACGTGGATAAGCCAAAAGAGGATCAGCAGAAGCAGCGCTCTGCCTTGGAGCGCATTGTAAAACTTGCAGATATTGTAATCAAAGAAACTGATGCCGATGCCCTGCTCTCATACTATGGAATTAAGAACGACACACGTCCAGATGCGGCCAAAATCAAGACGTAAGTAGATGAATGCGAAATCTGGGCTTCAATCCATATCAATATGACATTTTAGCAACATGGACAAACAGAAGAATAATCTCATCGAAGCCTTGAGCAAGAAGGGCATTGCACTCGCCAAGCTGTGTGTGCTCGAAGACAATCTCAAGGATCATTTGGCCGAGCTGAACGAAGTGTACACGGATATCATTAAGTTTATTGATGCGACCGATACCAAGGCCATCCAATTCGCCATATGGCATGCCTATGCGCACAATCATTACGGACGGATGTACAAATATGTGACAAAGATGATTGAGGATAAACGCACACGGGAACTCTTCGAGGAGATGGCGGCCATCAACAGCGCTTTGGGATATGAGCATACCAAAGCTGTTATAGATCGTATGGCTGTCACTTACTTCCCAGGCGGCTTCCGTTTGTTTTAAGTGATCGTTGGCAGTTTTTATGCAATTAGCAAAATAACCTTTACAATTTCACATTTAAATCTAATCACTGTTTTATTTCTATTGCAAGCCATGAAGTAATCAATTATATATAATGTACATGAACTCAGTATGCTTCCAATTTAAAAACAAAACAGGTGTGTTTGTCTTGTATATTTGCAAAAATAATTCGTTTCTAATTTTTGTTTCGTGCGCGTGCACAGTTTGTTATACCGCAAGTTCAGCTTTCAATTTGCGATTCATGTGTTTTTTTAAATGAAATATTTGCAAGTTCATATTTGTTTATGATTGGTTGTTTTTGAGGCTTGCACAGCTGTTTTTCGCTTAACAGCTGCTACCTCAAATTATTTGTTTACATGTTAAACTCAAAATGGCACTGTGGATTAGCAGCAAAGTGTGACCTTACCAAGGGTGCATTCTTGAGTTGGTATATTTCTATAAAATCAAAGTGGTGTTTTCAATTTAGACGCTTGAGCTCACACTGGTAAAGATGCAGTACTCCCAAACAATGCACACGCAAAAATAAAATGGGTAAGATTGAGTTAAAAAGTGCAAATATGTTTTAAAAAGTGTGCTAATAAGGTAAATGAATCATAAGCAAAGCACAGGATAGTGAAAAGTGAATATGATGTTGCAAAATGCAAGCGTTTTCGATGCTGGAAAAACTGTGTCTGCTACGTAGTAATTGCTTCCGTTCACGTATGTGAGTGCGGTTTGTGTCAGTGTGTGTACGCGTGTGTATTGACCGATCGATTTTATTTTGCAAATTCAAGGACAACTGCAAATCCTGCGGGATAGCAATGACGATTTAATTACAGTGCAATCAATTCGTTGGTCCTTAAAGCTATACTTACAACAAATAAATGCATTACAGTTGGTGCAATTGCAATAACGAAACACTCAAGCGGATGTGGACAGTTTCCATGGAATTTATTATCTCAATGAATGTCGAATGCCGCGCTGATGACTCAAATTGCAAATCCAGAGGTTTTTAACAGACATTATCAGGCAATCTGTGTACATACGAAATACAAACATATGCACAAATGTGTATATACATGTGTTGCAGTGTTTCCTTTACAAAGGCAAACAAAAACACGACACAATGACAAATGCTGCGGGTTGAGGCAGCGGCAATCAGAATTTTGTGTTAGTGCGTGTGAATATACATATATATGTCTGTGTATGTGGACTGGATGAGGTGGGACTGAAAGATAAAGATATTGAAATGAAAGAATGGAAATGTTTTAAGGCTGCCACATGAGGGCGCCGCAGCCAATGAATGTGTTGGCGTCTTTGCTAGTGGGTGTAGAAGAAATCCATACCACCCACACACATACGCACCACTCCATATCCATATACCATACACGCAAACAAACAGAGTCAATATTATGGAGTGCAGCTGTTGGTCGTAGGTCTGCTACACCACATGCATACTTAAGTTAAATAAGCATTTATATAGTCGTATTTATTTTTATATTTATATGTATCTTCCAGAGTGCCCACAAATTGATTTATATGAATTCCTTACCGAGTCCGAACTGCAGCAGTACTACAATGCCATCAAGTGAGTTGTGTGACCTAAATTGACCATAGCATGGCTGGTATGCTGATCACAATAAAATGCGAGCAGTAAGAAATTCCCCATATGCTAACGGCTTTCAAGTGGAGATGAACTAGTAAATAGTATTTTTTAATTGCCATAATTTAATACCGATATACACAGTATATGTATCGATGTCCATATTGGCGCCATTGTGAAAAGTAGTGAAAGAGAAGTGAAAAAATACGAAAGAACAGTTAGGCTTTGTCGTAAATTGTGATCTGTATACTGAGCTTAGCCAACCACGTGACTCATTTTACATTTTTACAACCCCAATTTTCCGTCACGCAGAAACGAATTAAAAATAACAAATGCAGCTCAATTTAAATATGCAGCGGATGAGGACTTACGTTTCATTGGCCTGTCGCGGCCGGAAATTCGAAGACTGCGCAAGTTCTATGAAAAGCATTTCCCCCACAGTTACCTCAGCAAAATTAAGCGCCTGCTCCAAGCGCCCGCCACAATTGTGAAGCGTGAGGATGGCGCAGCCGGGCAGACAACAAACGAGACCAGCGCCGCTGCAGCCACCGCCACTGCGACGAGGAATGGCAGCAGTTCACCGGGCAGCAAGGTGCCCAACAACAAGCACATCATACCAGCTGATTCGATTAGCGTTAATAAGCAGCTGGGCATCGGGGAGTTCGGCATTGTGCAGCAGGGCGTCTGGACGAATGGCAGCGAGCGGGTGAGTCGGGCCTCCCACCCTTCTTAAGGGCTTCTTCCGGTTGAATTGAGTAATTAATTTTGAGTGCTGCACAGATTCAAGTGGCCATCAAGTGTCTGTGCCGCGAACGCATGCAATCGAATCCCATGGAATTTCTCAAGGAGGCAGCCATAATGCATTCGATCGAGCACGAGAACATTGTGCGCCTGTACGGCGTGGTTCTGGCAACTGATTCGCTGATGCTTGTTACGGAACTGGCGCACCTTCGTTCCTTACTCGAGTGCCTTAAGGATTCCGGGTTGCGTGTCAGCTTTCTCACGATACCCACGCTCTGTGAGTTCGCGCTGCAGATCTGCAACGGCATGCGCTATCTGGAGCAGAAGCGACTCATACACAGGGATTTGGCTGCACGGAATATTCTGGTATTTAGCAAGGATAAGGTGAAAATCTCGGACTTTGGGCTGTCGCGTGCGCTGGGTGTGGGCAAGGACTATTACAAGACGAACTTCAATGTGAATCTAAAGCTGCCGATTGCCTGGTGTGCGCCCGAATGCATCAACTACTTGCGGTTTACCAACGCTTCCGATGTGTGGGCCTTTGGCGTTTGCCTCTGGGAGATGTTCTCCTATGGCTTTCAGCCCTGGGCGGCACTGACTGGTCTGCAAATACTGGAGGCCATAGATGCACCGAATTATCAGCGCCTCGAGCAGCCGGACTGCTGTCCCCGAGAGTATTACACGTTGATGATGAAGTGCTGGCAGGACGATGCGGCCAAGCGGCCCAAGTTTAGTGAAATCTATGAACAGCTGCCCGATATGAAGCCCGAGCAGCTCAAGGCCGTCGTCAATTGCGTGGAGCCGAAGAAAGATCATCTGCTGTATCGCCAGGGTGATATAATAAGCGTGCTTGATCGCAATACTGGTACGCCTTTCTGGAAAGGCGTTTTGGGTACTGGAAAGACTGGATACTTCAATCCCTCGAACACGGTTGCATTCCTGGAGGGCCTGCCCAGCTCCTCCAATCGTGATTCCTTCAGTCGCGTTGGCGACCATCGCATTAGCAAGCGTAAGTTGCGCACGGAAATGATTTCGAAGCCGCAGAATGACTTTAAGCACACCGGACATGTGGGTATCGATGGCGCCACCTTTGGCGATATCGCCTTCCTCGGCAGCTCCCAAAATGTAATCCAAACATTAGCCCATTAGCGTCATTCGTAGATTCATATGTTTGTTTTTTTCTTGTAGTACAATCATGTGCCGAAGCAGATTGTGACGCCCTACAAGCCGTCGGAGGATATAGAGCAGACGCCGCTGCTGCTGCCGCCGACGCCCACTAGTCCGGATTCGCTGCAAACGGCTAGCGGTTATTTTCCGGAAGGCGGTGGCACTTCAATGAATCCCACATTTATTCCCTCTACGGAGCACACGCCCAACTTGATACCCAGCAATGGACACAGCTCATTTGACTTTACCGGCTCCACAAATCCCTTTGCCTCGCACAAACTGGACGAAGAGCAGCTCGCCTATGCGCTACAGAACAACAACTATGGCGCCGATGGCAAGAGCATCCACTCAGAGCCCAACTGGCGCGCCAGTTCCCGCAACACGACCGACGATCCGCACGAGTATCACGAGATATCCGACGATGAGATCGCTGGCGATAAGCTGGACTTTGGGCCCTCGCTGCTGGACGAAATCAACTCAATGTTTGGATCAATCAGCGGCGCCTCTGGCAGCCAGCCAAAGTCGCCCGATTTCGATCATGTGAACACAAAAAATGAATTCGCTGAGATGTCGGCCAAGTTTAGCCACAAAACTGGCGACAGCAATGGCAACAAGCATGGCCATGGACACGGTCATGGACTTCTGTCCAAAAAGAAGACATCGACGGGCACTGTGAAGCCCATTTCGGTCAAGGATGAGAAAATACTGAATCATGCCATCGAAATTGCCAACGAGATTAGCGCCAGGTAAGTTATATCTCATCTTTATAGGGTAATATAAAACTGAGTTGGTTTTTTTCTTATGCAGATCCATGATTGATTTGGTATCTGATCATACGCCAGCCACGCACAGTCCTAAGCGCAAGTTCAGCTTTCGTTTTCCGCATTTGAGCAGCGGCGGCGGCGGCGGAGATAAGTCAAGTGGCGTTTTAGGTGGCGCTGCTGGCGGCTCTGGGCTCACACCTACGCATGGCAATGCCTCGCCCTTCTCCAAGAAGAAGAACTTTACAGAGGAGCTGCAAAGCATACCCGATATACAGGTGAGCATGGCCTCGAATTAGTCAGCTACTAAGATGTGTATTTAGTTAGATTAACGTAGGGTTAGGCTAGATGTTGCAGTTGTGGCCTGTTGCTAATCTGGAAGTCTCTTTTTTGTCTACACTCTGCTCTCTCTTTCTTCTTCATTCGTGTTGGCGCGCTCCGTTCATTCCCTTTGCTTTGTTTTGGTTGCCCATTCGTTCGTTTTTCTTTGCGTTTCGTTCCGTTTCGTTTCCCCCTCACACACATTAAGCAGCGTTTTCGCTCTTTGAGCGAGATCAAGAACAGCTCCGAGCTACGCATACCCATCTTTGACAAGGAGAGCTCCGACTTTCTCTTTGAGAAGTCACGCGAGATACTCAGCCGCCCGCTTAACAGAGAGCTCCACAGCGAGGAGTCCAGAGAGCGAGATCGAGAGCCAAAGAGCATAAATGATAATATAATGGACATTGAGAATACTCTAAAGGCGCTCAATCTGGACTTTATGCACACGTACACGGAGCTGGACAAGAGCGACTCGAACGACACCATTTTGAACGATCAGCTGCCGCAGCTGGTGGGCTCCTTGGACGATGGTATCAGTAGTGCCAACGGCAGCCTAAAGTCAGCTGTCTACAGTTACAGCAACGGGGTGCAGACCATGTTTGATTTCAATGCGGCAACTAGTCATCTGGACAAGCATCTGCAGTATATGCACAACCAGGCGCAGCTGCACAGCCAACAGCCGGAGCAGAAGCTGCTCGAGGACAAGCGCAGCAGCACGCCAGACACGGGCTTCGCCTCGCGAGACACCAACATATCGCTGTCGCGTCGCAGCAGCCAGAAGAGCAGCTATAGCCCCCAGGAGAGCTACTTTCCCATGAAGACCGAGACGCTGTACAGTGCGCCGCCAGTGGTCATGAGCAGCGGCTACGAGCGCTTCGGCAATGGCCACACCAAGCAGCTGCTGGCTAGCGCCTCGCCCGTCAAGTCTTGTCTGAATGCCAGCAACAGTTCCGTTTATGCAGCGGCTGCGAAGAGCTATCGCCAGCGCTCCACTTCCTTTAATGAGAGCTTCCAGCCCATTTCGCCGGTTCTGTCGGACGCCAAGCAGCGCCATTTTCGCCAGGAACCACTGCTCCAACAGCAGGTCCACCAGCAGCTGCAACAGCAGCAGCAGGCGCCGCTACCTAGACGTTCCGCCTCCTATAAGCCGCGCTCCATACGCGCGCGCACCTTGCGCCGGCTCAGCTACAATCCCATGACTCTCGACTCGAGCAGCTCGTCCAGCGGCGGAGAGGAGCCTAGCAAGCCCAGCTTGGCGCGCTCAGAGTGTGATATACGCGCCCGCGTTGCTGCCAGCTCCAGCAACTCGCTAAGTCGACGGCGTCGCGCGGGCCTTAGCCGACAGGTGCAGTCCGCCTGCCAAGATGAACGGGAGGTCGTCATATCGCCACGGCAGCTCTATGGTTCAAACTCCAGCATCAAATCGGCGCCACACTACAACCTGGGCGGCAACAGGCGCAGCTTCCATCGACCGGCCGCCGGCTACGAACAGTTCCACTATGATGAGCGCATCTATGATTTTGGCGGACGCGGACCGGGCAACAATTACACGGCACAAATGGCCCAGCATACGCTTCTGGCATCCACGCAATCGCAGAAGCTTAGCTCCGGCTCGGGATCCTCCTCGGCGGCCTCTTCCGCGGTGGCCACCTACCGCACTGCCACGGCTGCGGTGCCGCGTCCCATGAGCGGCGCCACGCTGCACGAGTTCGACATAAGTCGCCTCACGGGCAAAAGTCCCACGTCGACCAACTTTGTGAGCAGCTCGCCGGACGAGCGACAGCTATCCAACAGCGCCCAGACGCAGCTGCCAGTGAAGCCGCAACGACCCACAGAGTTCCACTGGCCCGAGAAGATACACGCCTCGGCGGTTCAGCAGCACGAGATGCACTGGCGCCAGCTCCAGCTCCAGCAGCAGCAGCAACTCTCACAGCCTCAGCAGCTGCCTCTGGTGCCCCTAGTAACAGCTGCGCATGACTCAAGCGACAGCAGCTCCTCAACCAGCACGGAGAGCGGGGATGAGTT